TTCTTTCCCATTCTGTGGCTGTCTTTGTATTTTGGTCACTGTTTCTTTTGAGGTGCAGAAGCTTCTTAGTTTAATATAGTCCCATTTGTCTATCTCGGTTTTCACTTGCTTAGCCAGTGGTGTGACATCTTTGAAGATTGATGCCATTAGCTTCAATATCATGGAGGGTTTTGCCAACTTTGTCTTCAATGTACCTTATGGATTCCGGTCTGATGTTGAGGTCTTTAATCCATTTTGATCTTACTTTTGTACATGGTGTTAGGCAGAAATCTGAGCCCATTTTTTTTGCATGTAGCTGTCCAGTTTTGCCAGCACCATTTGTTAAAAAGGCTTTCCTTACTCCACTTCACATTTCTTGCTCCTTTATCAAAGATTAGGCGATCATATATTTGGGGGGAGATGTCAGTATATTCAATTCTGTTCCATTGGTCTGCTGTTCTGCCTTTGTTCCAGTACCATGCTGTTTTAATTATTACTGCTTTGTAGTAGAGTTTGAAGTTAGGGAGGTTGATTCCTTCCATTTTTTTCCCCCCAAGAATTGCTTTAGCTATACGTGGGGGTTTATTGTTCTATATAAATTTCAGGAGTGTTTGCTCCATTTCTTTGAAGAATGTCATGGGTATCCTAATAGGGATCGCGTTGAATTTGTACAGTGCTTTGGGAAGTATTGCCATTTTGACTATGTTAATCTTCCCGATCCATGAACAGGGGATATTTTTCCATTTCCTTGTGTCCTCTTTTATTTCCTGAAGCAGCATTTTGTAGTTTTCTTTGTACAGGTCCTTTACTTCTTTAGTTAAGCTAATTCCTAGGTAGTTGAATTTCTGGGGCACAGTTGTGAACGGGATTGTTTTCTTCATGTCGTTTTCTTCTCTCTCACTATTTGCATAGAGGAAAGCCATGGACTTTTGGATGTTGATTTTATAGCCTGCAACTTTACTATACAGATCTATTGTTTCTAGGAGTTTCTTGGTAGAGGTTTTAGGGTTCTCTAAGTATAGTATCTTAACATCTGTGAATAGTGAGAGCTTGATTTCTTCCTTTCCTACTTGGATGCCCCTAATATCTTTTTCTTGCCTAATCGCTATTGCAAGTACTTCCAGTACTATATTGAACAGTAGCGGAGAAAGTGGGCATCCTTGTCTGGTCCCTGATCTTAAGGGGAAGGCTCTTAGTTTATCCCCATTGAGGATGATGCTTGCTGTGGGCTTGTGGTAGATGGCTTTAACTATATTGAGGAAAGACCCCTCTATTCCCAGTTTGGCGAGGGTTTTCATCATAAACGGGTGTCCAGCCAGTTTTTGTTTTGAAAGTCCTCTGGAATTTTTACATATGTGAACAAAAGTTTAATTTCAGAATATGTTCGTAATCTGTCTTGTCTATTGTGCTTTTTACAAGTCAGGCTATTGTTTAATGAGTTTAAAGTTGCTCCCAAATGAATCATTTGTAGATATTTCTATCTTTATAATTCCTTTCTGAAGTTTCTGTAGTCCTCACTTAAGAAAAAAAGTCACAAAATCATGTCATAAAGCATAGTGTTTAGGGCATTGACATAGTTCGATGGTTGTTGAATTTTTGTGTTTTGCTTTTTTGTCATTCCTGTTCACTTTGCCTTTGTTGCTGTGATGGCCGAGGGTCTCATGTGCGGTGGCCCAGGGTTGCCCACTTTAGTTGCAGTGCTGACCGGTGGCTGCACAGCTGATTGTGGTGTACCAGAGCGAACACACTTTGTTGTGATGTTGGGGGTCACATACAGCTATAGGATTGTGCCCAGAATCAAACCCATGGTCTCATGCCTGCAAGACTGGTTGTCTGCCCCCTGACGCCGCCCAGTCTGTGCGCCCTCCCCAGATATTCTTTTTTTTATTAAAAAATTTTTAATAGTGAGACATCATGAGGTACAGTTGCAGACTTACACATTTTTGTGCTTGGGTTTCAATTATACAATGATCAAATACCCATCCCTCCACCGGTGCCCATTTCCCACCACCACGGATCCCAGTATCCCTCCCACCCCCCATCCCCCTCATCCCACCCTGCCTCTGTGGTAGGGCATTCCCTTTTGTTCTCTCTCTCCGTTTGGGTGTTGTGGTTTGCAAAAGAGGCATTGAGTGGCAATCATGTTTGGTCTATAGTATACTTTCCGCATGCTTCTCCGATCCTGAGAGGATCCTCCCAACATCTTTATTTGGTGTTCCCCCCAGGATATTCTTATATCATTCTAGTGATGTATTGATGTGGATTGTCTGAACGTGGAGACACTATGGCTTATAAGTACCACCCAATTTCCTGTCCAGATGGTTATAGACTCTAGGCCCATGTGTACATGTCTTTAAACTCCACCAGATTGTCTCAATTCACGTCCTGGTTCTACTAGTCACTGTTGAAACCTCACTAAGTTTCCTCAACTTCTCCGAGCCTCAACTTACCTATGCATAGAATGAGGGTAAAATGGCGTGTGCACGAGGCTAGAGCCACAGGGCAGTGGGCAGGGCTCTTGCCTTGCCTGCAGCCAACCCGGGTTTGTTCCCCGGTGCCTCATGTGGTTATCCAAGCCCGCCAGGAGTGATCCGTGAGAGCAGAGCCAGGAGGAAACCCAGAACATAGCCACGTGTGGCCCCCAAAGCAATGGTGCATGCCTCTAAAGATGATGGCACTCTCTGAGTTAGTGTAATCAGTGATTACACTCATGAGCGACTGAAGAAGTTCTTTATTAGTGTTTATTATGCTCATTGTCAGACTTGTTCTTTCTGTAATGCTCTATTTGTGATTGAAGATTTCTACTTGATTTTAAACCTTTCAGTCTTAGATTTTTTTGCTGGGATACTTGTCAGATACAAAATGGCATTGATATATTCTTAGATTAAATTATTTCAGCCAGGTGGTAGTGGAGTCATTTACTTATCTGTGGAGATTCTGTTTTTAAACTTGTATTAAGCCATCTGAGTCTGTTTTTCCCCTTCCTGGCAACCAAAATTTTTCCTTTGGAGGCACGTTGTGAGTGAAGCCTTCTTGCTTGTCTGTTGTGTGCTTCTCATCCATCAATTGCTATAAAAATACAAGATAGAACTACACTAAAGTGCCACCACATACCTACTAGAATGGTTAAAATAAAAGAAAATAATGACAATATAAAATGTTGCGATTGATGTCAAGAAGCAGGAACTGGTTGAAATGTAAGATGAGAGAGCACTGCAAAAAATAGTTTCCTTGGAGTTAAATATTGGAGTCAGAGAGATAGTACAATAGGAAAGGCATCTGCCTTGCTCCCCGGCACCCCATGTGATCCCCCAAGTCCTGCAGGAATAATCCCTGAGTACAGAGCTAGGAGTAAGCCCTGAGCACCACCAGATGTGCCCCCCCCCCAAAAAAAAAGTTAGGTTTTAAAACATAATGACTAGAGAGATAGTATAGCGGGAAAGGCTTTTCCTTGCATCTAACTCAGGTTTAGATGCATACCACTAACTGCATACCACTCATGTTTGATCCCAGGGAACACAGAGCCAGGAGTAAGTCCTGAGTACCGCAGGGTGTGACCCCAATGCAAAAACAAACAAAACGGCAGGGTCAGAAAGATTGTACTGTGGTTCAGGTATAGGCACATGCACTGTAGGCAGTCAAACCCCTTTCAAACTCAGGACCACATGGTCCCCTGAGCATCACCAGGTGCAGCCCCGGAGGCAGTTGGCACTGCTCTCAGAAGCACATTGATGCACTGCGCCCACTTGGCCAACAGTCACCAGCAGGAGATGCCTGAGCCACAGGAAAACTAATTTTGGATGATGTATGTGTTTATTATCTGAGGGGGCGGGGGGTAGAGGTCACACCCAGTGATGCTCAGCAGTTGCTCCCAGCTCTGAGTTTAGAAATTACTCCAGGCAGGGCTCAGACAACCATATGGAATTCTGGGGATCGAAACGCTCAGCTCTGTGCAAGTCAAGTGCCCTGCCCACTGTGCCCTCTCACGCCAGCCTCTCATTGTTTCAATTTTGATGGTTTTGTGTGTGCTTGTGTATGGCAAAACTTACCAGATTGCGTTGGTCAGGGCCTTGAGTGCCAAGTTTAGGGAGTAAGGTGCCCATCCTTGCACGGGGCCAACGACATGCTTCTGTTTCCAGCACCACAGAGGGTCTCCTGAGCACTAATAGGAGCCCCAAACGCTTCCCCAAATTGTATGCTATAAACAGGTAATTCATCAGATGACAGTTATATGTTGGTAAAGCTAGAAGTTAAGAATGAAAAACTGAAAAGGTACACACTCTGCTGTTGGGAAAGTTGGGTACTTGAAAAAGGGTGGGCGCTGTAATAGGACCCTGCTCTTAGAGCTGTTTAGGGTCATGTAGGGTTGTTGGTGGATTTCCAAAATTCGTTCAGAGCCAAGGCCAGCGTCATGCTCAGCGCAGCACTGTTCACCACTTGCTGCCCCTTGGATCTCATCTGCTAGTAGACCATCGGGTGAGCGTGGCAGCATTACTTTGCCATTATTCCCCTCATTTGAAGCGGTGTTTGTGGAGCCCTCCACTTACTCGTGAATGTCCAAGAGTGTTTTGACATCGTTTTAAACTGATATGTACATAACAAGATTAGCCTCCTTCAAAGGTGCGCAGTATGGGTATAGTTTGAAAAAAGAATTGAAGAATTAGGTGTATATGATTCTTGGGCTGAGGTGGGTAAGATTTCTATGGCGCACATTCTGTAGGTAACATTTACAGTTGTGTATTTAGCTAGATCTCTGTTCTAATCTGTGCACGCGCGCACGCACACACACACACACACGTGCACACTTGCTTCCTCTGAGTGCCAGATTCGGCTCTCGCCCGCACTTCTGTGACTTATTTTAGAAAGCAGTCAAGACCTTGGGAAAACCACTTATGTCATCAGTGAGGAATGCCACCAAAATAGCTTCTCACTTAAGTTCCCATCCCCAGAGCTCACCCACAGGAGGTTCCGATCAATTCAAATATTTAACAACTTGTACTTTTCTTTCTCCTCCAACACAGGCCCTGTGGTCCTGGAGGCAGGACCGGGCGGTGGATTCTTGGCAGTCGGCAGTCTGCGGAGCTTTTGCAGGTGCAAAGGATTATATTATACCGGGCAAGACCAAAGAGGGAGAGAAAAATGTGAAAATATTAACGGTGCAAAAACAACATTCTTTAGGATTTCCAGATTGTTTAGAGGAAGGGAGTTCCACTCAGGGCTTGAGAAAAGAAAGTGTCGGAGAGGGTGGAGAGCAAGAAAGAAACTACTCCGAAGGTGTCGGCTTGAAAGACAAGCAATTTGTTTTCGACAAATTTTTCTCTCTCTTTTTATCTTTATTGAAGCCTTCACTCAGGCCCTGGGCTGATCTCAGAGTTGATTTATCAGCTCCGCTGAGCAAAGAGGCTGCCGCGGGTGTGGGCTGGGCACGCAGCTGTCTGCTGTGAGCAGTGCTCGGGGCTTGCTGCGGTCTGTGCAGGAAGCAGTGATTCACAGCTGCTGTGACAGGTTTGATGGGGCTGCAGATTAACTGGTGCCGGGAGAGCAGAGGCTGCTCCTTCCTCAGCACCCCCGGGCCAGACTGCACCTGTAGAGAAGAGGGACACAGAAACTGCCGTATCTTAAACCAAAGCAAAGTGCAAGGTGCCAGAGTGTGTTCCCCCTTACTGAGTCCTTTGAATTTTCCAGTGCAGTTTGAATGAGGACGCAGGGGCTTCATGGGAATAATGAGAGATGGGTTGGCCAGTCTAAAAGAGAAGTAGAATTTGTTGCAAAGAATAGTAAACTAGGGTCTGGAGCAATAGTATAGCGGGGAGGGCGTTAGCCTTGCACGAGGCAGACCCAGGTTCTATCCCCGGCATCCCAAGCACTGCCCTAAGGAATTCAGAGCCAGAAGTAACCCCTGAGCATCACCGGGTATGACCCCCCCAAAAAAAGTCAAAATAAATCAATTTTTTTAAATAATTTAAAAAATTAAAGAATTTTTTAAAAATTAATTTAAAAGAAAGGTAAGCTAGAATTACAGTTGTAATACATGGAGATTTTCCAGAGAGGTGCAAACTGCCAGTTTAGATGAGAAGCCAGTAAGCCAAGAGATTTGTAGATTTAGGGAGTCAAACTCTCAAAGTCAGTATTTTTCCTTATGTCTCATGGTACTTAGATTAGGCCTTTTGCTGTAATGATTAAGTGTATTTTATAGTATTCATTTTAATAATTGGAACCATTTGATGTGCGAGCCATCTCAATCTGACCATGGTGACTGTTTGCACATGTCACATGATCATTAGCTGCATTAAATGAGTCAGTGGTCTTGGTTAGTTTTCCAGAGGTCAGGAGTCTGTTTTTTCCCCCTAAGAAAGATGCATATTGTTTGCTTGATTCCCTCTTGAGGACCAAGTGAGCGTGAGGGTCATGTCACCCTGTGTAAGGAAGGACACCTGACTCATGGCCTCATCAGACGTCCATGCATTTCATTTCTTAAGGAGCCAGTTCTAAAATAGGCTCCCAAATGCATTATTTCTGTTAAGGAATCCAGTGCAGTGTCATCGCCCAAGGAAACAGGCTCTGACCATAGGAGGGGGAAGGTGGACAGGCTTGTGCTCAGACGCTCAGTGGTAGGAACCCCTAGGAGAGGCCTCAGGGAAGGTGCCATCCAGGCCGGGGGCCAGCGTGCAGGGTGGGGTTTGCCCAGAGTCGCATATCCGGTGCAGGCTGAGCTGTCCCATGGATGATGTTTTCATGTCTCTGTTCTGCCCCAGCTGAGGGATGAAATGAGGCGTTCTTTACACCGGTTTCCCTACTGAAGTGATTTTCTTCAGAGCCAGGGTAGATCATATATGCCACAGCTCTTTGTAATCTATGCAATTCAGCTGACACCCAGTAAAAGAAAAGCCGCTCTCACACTCATTCCAGTATGCTCACTCGCAGCAAAGGAGTAAATTTACACTAACCAAGTTATGACACTCCACCATTGCCTCTAATAGCATGTGAAGTAAAAAACTCCTTCGCTACAGACCTCGGCAGACATTCTGATAAATAAAGGAGTTTGTCCAAGGGCTGCAAAACAAACAAACAAACAAACAAACAAACAAAAAACCCGATCAGGGGAACCACATATATTTAGCAGAAGTTAACTAAATGCAAAAAACACATCGCTTGTTTATTTTAAAAAGACTGGGGACAAACATTGGCCCTGAGGAACACATTTATATTTGAAGACCTTTCTGAAAGATAAATGTGATCTGGCATTTCCAAATTGTGACGAAGTGACTTTTTATGAGTTTGTCACCACCTTGTGCACTGCCCATTAGAGAGGCGGGGACAGTGGCTTTCCCCTGCCCCTCTCAGGAGCCAGTAAGCTCCCTACCCACCCCGCCACAGCCTTGCAGGGTCCTGAACGCCAAGGTAGAACATGGCCCTTCGGTCAGAAACTGACTCTCTGGGCCCCGAGTACCTTTCTTAGTTTCAGCTGGTGAAATTCGTGCAAGCTATAAACCTCTGCCGGTGCCATCTTTGGCACTCTCTCTCACTCAGGCTTGTTTTATAAACTGCTTGGCACAGATACCCAGCAATGCCCCTTGAGACTGGAGGTGTTGATGGCTTGTCATGCTCAGAAATTCCCTTGGCTTCTGGTCAGGGGTTAAAGCAAGGAACAAAAAAGAAAGGCGCTCTGCCAGCTTTATCACTTGAAGTTTACTTCTAAACATAACTTCTACACATAAAGCCATTATTCATTGTGCGTAGTGATGACATTTATTACTATAGTCTCAATGTACTAGTACGACTCTAGTACTCTTTGCTGGTTTTGTTTTGTTTTGTTTTGTTTTGTTTTGTTTTGTTTTTTGGCCACATCCAGTGCAGTGGTGCTCAGGGCTTACTTCTGGCTCTGTGCTCCGGGATCACTCCTGGTTGGGCCTCTGTCCATTTGTATACTAGAATTATACCCTTATCTCTTCCTATTTAAGTGGGCATGGTGGGGATACCCAGCAATGCTCAGCTGTTACTCCTGGCTTTGTCTGCACTCAAGGGTCACTCCTGGCAGGGCTTTGGGAACTATGTAGGGTGTCAGGGATCAAACCCAGATCAGCTACATGCAAGGCAAGCGTCCTACCCACTGTGTTATCTCGCCAACCCCACATTCTAGTATTCTTTGATGATAATTAATTTTTTTTTTTTGGCTTTTGGGTCAGACCCAGCGATGCACAGGGATTGCTCCTGGCTTTGCTTGCACTCAGGAATTACTCCTGGCGGTGCTCAGGGGACCATATGGGATGCTGGGAATCGAACCTGGGTCAGCCGCGTGCAAGGCAAATGCCCTACTCTGTACTATCACTCCAGCCCATAATAAATTAATTTTGTTGTAACATCCCCACATTCTCTTGAGAGGGTCTCTATAGTTGAAATCTAGAATAGGGTGAAGGATCATCAGGGAAACAAAGGAAAAGCCTGTTGAGATCTAGACGCAGGAAAAGTCAGCATGTTGTCTCTGGCAGTTTTTTTCTGAGCCCCACTGGGTATAGCCAAAAAAATTTTTAAAAAAGAAAGAAATACACATTGCTGGATAGATCTATGTGTCAAGGCAGCTGCCTTGCATGCAGCCAACCCTCGTTTGATTACTGGCACTGCATATAGTCCCTGAGCGTGGCCAGGAGTGACCCCTGATTATCACCATGCACGCCTCCATCCCCCAAAGAAATACATCTCAAGGGCTTTCTGAGTATTCAGCCTCCCCAGGGCTGAGGTGAAATGGGCACCTTCAGAGGAGCCGAAAAGAACATTGTGTGAAGGATGACTTAGAGTAGCCCTTCCTCCAAGTTGTGTGGCTTGAAGGCAGGACAGCTGTCTGCTCTCTGCCAAATGCCCTCACTGCACGGCTGCAGTTAAGACCCACAGCCCCCTTGGTCTGGTGGTAGTCACGCTGTATCTATCACTCAGTCCCCTTGTACTTGGCACTTCCTTTTTGGTTAGGCACAAGACACACCGCCGACCCAAAGAGTATTAATGAAAGGATGGATGGGTGCAGTGCCAGAGATCAAGGATGCGCCCCTCTGTTGCAGTCACCTTTGTGTTAAGGTGTGTCGGAAGGTTTTTGTCCATATTCAAAAGCTGCCTGAAATTCACAGATTTGCTGGCCTTGGCTTTCTAAGGAAACCTTTGTAGACTCAGTCCCTAGAACTTGCTCTTTTAATTCTTTGACCCTGCTCCTCACAGATTCTATTTTTATTTCTAGTCAGAAATCTAAGAAGGTGTCACATCCACTTCTTTCAGCCTGCTCTCCCTTCCCTTTGTTGTTTTTGATGTGAAGATGAGCAGAGCCCACCCCTGCCTGTGGTCCTCAGGCACCCACACACAATGCTCTCACAGTGCTCCCTGAGGGGGACCCCCATGAGGGCTGAATTCCTGATGACATGCTAGCAAGGAAGGTGTTCATTTTGCTTGAGGCTGGGAGCACACCCAGTGCAGCAAGGGACTCCTCCCACCCTGGTGTTGGAAGTTACTTCCAGTGTTCTCAGGAGACATGCAGGCTGGGGGTTGAAATCAGGGCTCCAGCATGCAGAGACTGTGCTTCGGGTGAGGAGGGTGTCCTGAGCACCCGAGCATTTCCCCAGACCCTCTACTGTGTTTCCTGTGTAACGAAACAGCATCTTAGTTCCTCTCTCCACATCTGTAGCCCCTTTAAGACCTGTGGGTTTTTGAGCCTTTCGTTTGGCAGTGGTGGTGTGGCAATGAACGGAACATAAGAACAGAGGAGGGAAGCCAGCAGGGTGCCTGTGAGTCACAACTGACCCTAACAAGATGCAGAAGGGAGCTTAGAAATGCTGCTGCAACCGGCCATTACCGGAAGGCTGTGAGACCCACCAAGGCTTCCTCTTTCCTGAAAGAATCTGGTTGGTTTCAGTGAGCCCCAGTGCTCATTGGCCTCTCACCTCCGAGCATAATGATGAGGAAGCAATTCCTGGCACAGTTCTATGGACTTAGAGAATACTGTCTCAGGCTGTCCGGGAGGGCAGCCGACAGCACCTTGCTGAATCTTGGCCGTCTCACTCACACAGGCGGATTCGCAGCTGCAGTCACCACACCGCTGGACGTAGCAAAAACCAGAATCATGTTGGCCAAGGTAAGGGGTAAAATAATGTGTAGACACAGCAGATGCTTGAATGCTCCAGGCCTGTATGCATGCAAAGTACCTTAGCTACTTAGCTACTTGGTGGAGCATGAGTGGAACTGAGGCTGACAAAGCAGCGGCCAGAGCAGTTCACAGCTCACAGTCCCCCAGCTAGAAGCCAGCAGGGCTAGGGGCCTCTGCCCATCGGACTATTTTCGGTTTTTAAGAGTGCCCATCTGGCAGCGTTGCTGGGTCGGGGCCTGGGGGCCTGGGTGTCCGGAATGGAACTTGGGCCTCATTCGGCCTGTGTTCTACCACGTGAGCCACATCCCCAACCCCTGAACCTCCATTTCCTGGATAACTCACCTGAGGCTCATGGAATGACGCATGCTGGACAGAGGCTTGGCATGAGTGATGTGCCTTTGTTCTATGAATTAGGGTATTTTGTCAGAATTTTTTTTTTTAGAAGCTAAACATACATTTCAGGGATGCCGTGAATGTAATACCTGGATCAAGACAAAAAAGTAACATGGCAAGCCTGTGAAAAAGAGAAGGGCTGAAGAGACAGGACAGTGAACAGGGTGCTTGCTTTGCATGCCACTGACCCAGATTCAATCCCCAAAACTCCGTACATTCCCCTCGGCCTGCCAGGAGTAATCCCTGAGTGCAAAGCCAAGACTAGGCCCTGAGCACAGTTAGGTGTGGCCCAGAAACAGAAGAGCAAGAGATTGGGGCCAACTTCTAGTATGCAGATTGACCTGAGGCCCAACCTGAGGATGTCAGTGGAACAGGGTCCTTGTAACTAAATGTGTGTATTGACTACCAGACTTCATAGTTGCAGTGTAAACACTGATCATTCCCCCTTCCTTCTCAGACCGGTGAATTTTGTTTGCACTCTTTTCCTGTTAAATCTGTAGGTGCGAATTACCCCTGGTGAGCTAGCTGTGTTCCTCATCAGAGATGGCAAGAAGGGAAGCCACCTCCTCCCAGCCCGGCCGTGACCTCTTCCCTGGGGTCCCCGTTCCCCGAGAGACTCCCTCTTCGGGTCTGGGACTGTCCGGGCCGAGGCAGCTGTGAACTGTGGGGGGGTCCATAAGGTAACGAGTGTCTCCTGTGCCTTCTGCAGGCTGGATCCAGCACCGCGAGCGGGAACGTGCTGTCAGCGCTGCACGGAGTGTGGCAGACGCAGGGACTGTCAGGGTAAGTAAGATTCTCAGCCCCTCCCGCCTCTCTCCTTCTGCTCCTGTCCGGCTGGGTGCTCCCTCTCTACTGAGATTTGACATTGCCTTTGCAGCTATGGTTTCCCCAGGACACTTTTTCAGGGACATTTCTAGAGTGTTTAGAGCCTTTATAGGGCTTTTATGTTAAGAGAGGATCTTGAGGGCGCTGCACACCAGCTCCTCGTCCTGGCAGCACTGGCTGTGCATCAGATTTTAGTTTTGTGTACATTTTAGCAGGCATGGTGGTGGTGGTGGTGGTGGTGGTGGTGGTGGTGATGGTGGTTTGGGGGCCACACCTGACTCTGCACTCGGAGATCACTCCTGGAGGTGCTCAGGGCACTAAATGGGTGCTGGGAACCAAAGCTGGGTTGGTGGCATGCAAGTGCCCTACCTGCTGTGCCATCGTTCCTGACCCAAGTTTTTGTTTCAGCGAAACAGGTTGGTCAGGTCCTGGTGAGATTTATGGGGGATGGCCACATCCTTCTTGCAGTTTTGAACTGAAGCTTGAGTAGGTGCGGGGGGGATTGGGAGGGGGAGGTGGCGCGGCTGTTAGATCTGACTGCTGAATGGGGACTTGATGGTTTGCTGCTGGTTGTCTGAAGGGCTGGGGACTTTGAGACAAGGACTGGGTTTGGCTGGGAAGACTCTCCCAGCATGCACGGGCAGCCTGTCGTGACTAATGCGCAGCTGGCCGCTCAGAGCCGAGGCCCATTCATTTTCACACGGGTTCCAGCCTTCACGAAGAAGTGGTGTGGAAAGAGAAAGGAGCTCTACGGCCGCTTATTTCAAATGCGGCAGATGAAACTCCCGGTTTCAAATAGTGGCTGGGCTCCACCCTCGGAGAAGTACTATGCAGTCGTTGGTTTAGGTCATACACCCACACTGCCAGGTTTCACTGATTTAGTGCTGCTTCCTAGCAGGCTCCATGGCAACTACTGGTCACACCTTAGTTGAACTGCGGCCACTCGCCATTCCTCAGGGTGCTATGTGGCCGTGCCTGGTTCAGCAGCGCTCACCACAAGCTGCAGAAGGAACTCCCATGGGTGGACGCTTGAAGCAGAAGCCTGTTTGCCTTGCTCCATTGTGGGGTGTCCTTGCTGCTGGGCATAAGGGGGCGGAGCCCATGCACAAGGCCAAGGAGGGGGTGTCAGCGTGCCAGGGGCCTACCCCTTCCCCACTTGTCAGCTCTAGAATAGTAAATAGGGTCCTTGCTTATCTTCTGGCAGCTTCTTGAGTCTCTGGCCCTCAGTGTAGAGTGTGGTACTGAGCAGAAGGCAGCCAAGCGCATCCTCAGAGCTTGCCAATGTTCTTTCTACAAAGGTGGATGGATATTTTTAAAATTTGACAAGGCAACTATAACAGAAAGCCAGAGACCCTGCAGATGTGGGGGCAGCTGTGCCGAGCAGCAGGGGTCCCGCACCCTAAAGCACTTTCGGGGCCCCCTGCCAGGCTCACCCACCAAATACAGCTGCCCAACTGGGAGGCTGCCAGCTCAGGGCAGCAAAGCACGGAGACTCTGCTCTCCCCACGGTGGCTCACTTGGAATCTGTGCTCTGGGGCAAACTGGGGTTTCTTTGAAATACAAGTACCCGGTGCTCATCCGGCCTCAGAGCAGGAAAGCAGCTGGGATGCCTGTTTACCCACCATTCCTCCTGTTTGTCAACCCGCTTTTTGTTTAACCTGACGGTGCCCTTCATGAGTTAGCTGCTGCGGTGTGCGCGGCCGAATGGGAGCCCCTTTTTTGTTTGCCGTCTCCTTTGGCCTGTGGTTGCGGGATTGCGGCTCTGCTCAACTCACAAGCCGTTGCCTGCAAGTTCGCTGGGGCACCCAGCGAACAAATTACTCCACAAAGGCTGTAATCATGTTAATAGAGTCAATTGTCATCTAATGAAACCATAAACTTCTTCCATCTGCTTCTTGCTAGGAGCAGCTGAACAGCGGCAAAAGCTGAACAAGACTCGGGCTTGAGAAGCAAGTGGGCTAGCTGGGGGCAGCGGGGTCCAGGGGCAGCTGCTGCGACCCTCCCTCCAGGGCCCCCCATTGCAGGGCAGGGGGAGAGTCTCTGTTCTTCACGCCCAGAGGACAGAGAGTCTGAGCGGTGCAGCAGGAGTTTCTGCCCTCCCGCAGTTTCCATGCGCACGGCTGTGAGCTTAATGACCGTCAGTTTTATTTTTGGTCTTTAGTAGACCTTGCAGTTATATTTCTCAAGAAGAAAATGGTTCTGACTTTCTATGCACTATTTTACATACTTATGACTCTTTAGCTAAGAACTTAATGAAACTCATAAAACTACCCAAAAGCCCGTTTTCTCACAGCTACAAGTCTGCAACCCTCCTGAGCTTCTGCTAACCTGAGATGATGCACAATTTGGCCCGACTTCACCCTTTTTAGCTTTGTTTCCTAGACCTAATTCAAAGGTTTTTCTGTAGTTCTGAATGTTTGTTTCTCTGCTAACAAAAGGAGGACTGCTGAGAGTTGAGGGCCACAAGTGAGAGTCCCCCGTCCAGAGAACACTCGGCCCAGCCCTACGTTTGGCTGGCAGGGAGTGATGCTGCTCATTCAGGACCGTTTTCAGAACCTAGTTTGTGTCTTTCCTTGTGGGGTTACCGAAGACTCCCGCACTGCTGTTAGGTGCCTTCAGGCCTGTGTGAGCACAAGGGCCGACGCTTCCTGTTCCTCTCTGAAATGGCACAAAGACAGTCTTTGAACATTTGTGGACAGCATGGGGAGGGTTTTAATAGAATTAATCTCCTTCCAGTCACGGTTCCTTTTTTTTTTTTTTTTTGCTTTTTGGGTCACACCCGGTGATGCACAGCGGTTGGTTCCTCCTGGCTCAGGCACTCAGGAATTACTCCTGGCGGTGCTCGGGGGACCATATGGGATGCTGAGAATCGAACCCGGGTCAGCCATGAGCAAGGCAAATGCCCCACCTGCTGCGCTGTTGCTCCAGCCCCGGCTCATTCTCTTTACATTTCTTTATTCCAGAGTTGCAACCCTGGCCGAGACTGGCCTTCCACAGCGCTGGGGTGAAGGTTGGGGGGTGGCTGTCTCCCCCACCTCATCTTTCCCTTCGAGAAAAGAGAAAAGCAGGTGATTCCTGAAGAGTCTTATTACCTCACATGTGTCGGCCTCAGAGACACCCCCCCACCCCCGAAAAATAAAAGTCATGAGTCCCCAGCTCTCTTCACACGTAGAATAGCCTTGGTTGCCAGTGGACCCGACTTCCAGCTCCCACTTTAGTCCAGCCTTCTGATGCCTGTATTGGGTTATGGGGCAGGGGGAGGGGGGAAGGTAGCGGTTGCATCAGTTATAAAATACAAAGAATGGTGTGAAAGCTTGAGACAGGCTCGCAGTGGGCTCCGCTATGGTTTCTTAGCTAATTACTTCATTGTGCGTGCTCACAAGTGAGCTGCCCCACCATGTAGACGCGGGCCAGCAAACAGCTGGGCTCAGACTTCAACACGTCGACTTGGGAATGCAGTTTAGTGGCATTCTCCAAGGAGAAAATACACACATTCTAAGTGTTGTGTGGGCTTTAATGAGCATGGTGTGTTGAGTTGAACAAGCTGCAGCCGTTGGAATTTAACCTTTTTTTAAAACACAGCTCTAAAAAGAAAACAACAACAACCCTTCCTGCTTTTCCCCTGCAGATTGTTTGCAGGTGTGATCCCTCGCATGGCAGCCATCAGCCTGGGTGGGTTCATCTTTCTCGGGGCCTATGACCAGACTCGCCGCTTGCTGCTGACACTTGGCACAGAGCACCTCTGAGATAGCCCTGCACCCACTCCTCCCAGGAAGGGGACGGCGGGTCCCTCCTGCTGAGCGGCACAGCCCAGACAGGCCGAAACCCGGTTCTGCTAAGGTGAGGACGTGGAGAGGCCTCTTCCGTGCTCCAGGCCCATGATGTCATCAGCCTATTTGGCCAAAACGCCAAGAGAAAAAAAGACTTTGGATGGTTTTTCCCAGAACCTCTTGGCTGTGTAACGCCAATTCCAGGGCCCGCAGAACTTTGGCATGATCTGTATCTGCTTTCTGATTTCCTGCAGCTTGATGGCAACGTGCAGTGGGAGGTGATTATGGTCTAAAAGCAAAGGAGACTGGGCGAGAAAGTTGTGGGTGGGTATTTCTCCCAGGTCTAATCCCTATTGTGTAAACTTAAGAGTTCTGCTTACGGGATGGACTACAGGTGCGTAAGCAGCATTCCGATTGTGTAACCAGGCCGCTGTTTCTGCCGGCCTCAGGTTTCACTTCGAAGAACACACCATTGTATTAGTTTCCAGAGCGGTGTCCAGATGCCCCAGCCCAAGTGACCAGGTGGCCCAACTGGCTTCAGGGCCCGGGCCACTCATTTCTTTATCCTGAGTCAGGTTTGCCGCCTGCAGTTATAAGCCCAACACTGGCCACGGGAGGGTGGAAAGCTGCCACTGCTCACTTGTCTAATAAACTCCAGGTGTTAGAAACATGTAGCAAGAAATCTCAGGAATCTAGTGGTGTCGGGTCTCCCCCGGAGCACTAGCAGCAGAGGATTCCTTTTGGGGTAAAAAGGTAATTACGGGCAGACCGACTTCATCTGTAAGAGCAGCTCGGAATGGAACTAAAGCAGTGCTGGTTAATGCGGAGGAAATGACCCCAGCCACAACTCGTGTTTATGAATGAACCTTTATTAGAGACACTTCATCGCCATCTGCTAGACACTTCAATATTTTTTCATGTTTTTCAATGTACACTGTACCAAAATTCTATAAATAAATAGCTTTTATGTACAAAGTAATACTTCCTCTTTCACATTGCCTCTCAGAAGCAGCAAATTCACATGTTTTGTGGAAGTAACAAACTGTTGAGAACAAAATTCTAACTGTGCTTACCTTAGGGAACAGTGATGACAGCTGACAGTAAAACTGAACACAGGTGACCATTTTGTCAATACCTACCTCAGTGTCTGGGCTAAAGGAACCAGCTTTCTGAGATTTTAAGGACCTTGCTTGTTTCAATGGAATTTTTCCTGAAATACACATTGGCACTCACAAGATGGTAGCTACAGGTCTAAAAAGTGCAAGTAGACCCAGAACCCAGGTCAAGGGCAGAATCTTGTACAGGCCAAGCCCGGCTGTCTGGGAGGGGAGGACAGGCCGCTCTGGATGCTCAGAGATAAGTCAAGCTATCCCTGAAAAGGAAGAACTCCATCCTCCCTCTCCTCCACGGCCAATGTTTTATATTGGCAGAGCTAAAATATCACTACTGAAAAAATAATCCACAGGTACCAACACCAGCAGCTTCTACTTTAAAAGCCTCAAATGACATTTGAATGATACAAGACCACCCCTTTCTTCCTCAAGTGAGCCTCATCGAAGGGAGAATGCCCGTGCTCAACTGTCTGCACCAACTGCTCGCTGAAGATGACCCTCAGCCCGCCCGTGCCCCTACAGTGCAGACCCATGCAGCACACGCCCACGGACTTCCAGCCCCCGCCCCCAAAAACCTGGGGGAGCTCATTTTAGTTTCTGTAAATCCCATCCATGCATTAAGGCACCAGAAACGACTCCCCCTGCTTCCAAAATTAAAACAGCAACCTATGAAAAATAATATTGTCAAAATTGTACAATTTTTTTGTTAACCATGCACTAAAGATTAAAATAGCCTCTGTAAAAGATATAATATATATATATATATGAAATCTCTGAAAACTCTTATGTACAATGGTATCAAATACTTTTCTGACTTCTGTACACGATAGCCATCCTGCATTTCTGTGCTTCAGCTTGAGTCCGTCACGCTACTGGCTCCACATGAAGGGAAACTACATACAGACCGTGGCACTGGACCCGAGCTCCCACGCGGCCTCCCGTACCCCTCCTTCCGGGAGAGAGTGGCCCGAGCTGAGGTAGACAGAGCCTAGACTTTGGGTGCAAACATCAGGGGCGCGCTCCGTGTCCCAGGAAGCTGTCCCATCAGCGGGGCACTCTCAGGACTGGAGCCACAGGCCTGAGGGAGGTGTCCATTGGAAAGCAAGTGCTGGCCTTCGCTGGGGAGGTCAGCCGGGCCTGCGGGGGCCTCTGGGAGCGGAGGACTGCCCGAGGGCGGGCGTTCTCTGGAGTCCGGCTCACACAGCCTGGCTAACGTCCACGAGGAGCCCCCTGAGAGGAAGGAGAAGGACCGTCACGTCTGCGCTCCCACCAAACACGCCCCCTGCCCCCAGCGCTGGCAAGGCCTGGGGGACAGCAAGGAGTTACCTGTCCCCTCTCGAGGGGCCACTGGCTGTAGCGGCTGCTTCCAGGTCTGCATTCTGTCATGGTTGCTGGGGTAGGGGGCGCCCCTGCAGTCGGAGCGGGACCCATCCACAGTCCTGGTGCTCGGAGGATGTTCTAGGTCACTTCCACTGGGCTCCAGGGGGCCGGGGGTGCCTGGCCGGACGCCCTCTCTGGACACCGGCCGAGGATAGAGGGCCTGTTCCTGGCTGTAAGTGTCCACATCAGGCCTGCAGTCACTGCATCCAGCGGGGCCGCCGAGCCCTGCAGGAACACCCGTAAGGTCAGATCCCTGCCATGACAGGACATGTCCCTCCCTGCCCTGGTGACAGACCTGCTTCTCCACCCCCTATCCTCCCAGCATGTTCTCTGAGAAAGGGCCTGGGACACACTGAGTCCCAACTGACAGCGGCAGCTTCCACCTGCCCGTTCATTTCTCCATCAGAGAATGTCCCTTTCCGCTCGGGTTGGGACAGCGCCTGCAGTGTCCAGAGTCGGCCGACCCCGCCTCAGAGGAACCCAGAGGGAAAAGACCATTTTCCATTTCCTTTGGGGCTTACCTGGTGAGTTTTTTTTGTTGTTGTTGTTTTTGCTTTTCGGGTCACACCTGACAAGGGTCAGGGGCTACTCTTGGCTCTGCACTCAGGAATTACTCCTGGTGGTGTTCAGGGACCACATGGGATGCTGGGGATTGAACCCGGGTTGGTAGAGTGCAAGGTAAACGCCCTCCCCACGGTGCTATTGCTCCAACCCGAGTTGTGCATTTTTGCAGGGGTTATACGGGGCACACCTGGCGCAGGGTAAGCACCTGAGCCCCTGTGCTATCTCTCTGGCCCTCAAGTTGCTTATGAATCTGAAAAATTCATGCTTACTAAATCGCAGATTTAACAGGCTGGTCAGAACCTCCTGTCTCGGTGGGGAATGCCAGGCTCTCAGACGGAATTAGACAGAAATGTAACGTCAGCGATGCCCGTCATCTCCTACCTAGCTTCTGGGCACCAGGTGTCCGATCTGCTTTCTCCGCCACTTTCCACGGCTCCTGAATGAACCCAACGCAGAGCTTCGGCTGCCGGCACGGAGTGCCATGAGTGCCCGCCTCCGTGAAGAGGCTTGCATCTCTCGGAAGGACACCTGCAGCAGAACCCCACAGTCATGATCCTAAGCTGAGCATTTCACATGAAGCCCAGGGTTTGGAAAGGAGGGGAGTGGGGGGGGGATGGAATGGAAAGGCTGTTAGAGATAAAGCAAGGCCCCAACACACATGAAGGTGGGTACAGGTGTGTGTATATCTGAACCACAAAGCACAAGACCTAAACTACAGTAATGAAATTCAAAAATGGCCTGTCAGGCTGGTGCAGTAGTACAGTCAGCACCTGGACACTTCCCTTGCATATATGGCTGCCCAGGTTCCATCCCTGGCCCCCCATAATATGGTTCTTCAAGCCCAGACAGGAGTGCAAGCACTGAACACTGCAGGGTGTGGCCCAAAAGCAAGAAACAAACCCAAAAAAGGCTGTCAGGGAAGCAGCAGAAGGGCACCTGGGACACTGGTGCTGGGACACTATGCCGGAAACTGAGCAACTGCCGATCAGGATACCTTAATAATGATTATAAAGATTATAAAAATCTGTGCCTAAAACATTCTTGAATGGATTTCCTGTACTTGGACTGGTCTGAAGGCCCGGCAGCTTTCCCCACGGGAGTTCCTGCCATCTTACTAAAGAGACACTAAGCCCAAGACACAGGGACGTCACCCGGGACAGAATCTGAAAGTCTCACAGAAGCAGCGCTGACTCGGCTAAAGCAAACACGGCTTCTAGTACCCTGAGCAGGCGCTGGCCTGGGGAGGGACAGCGCTGTGAGGAGCCTCACGCTGGGCCTTACCATTGCTTTCTATATGCCCGCTGGGCTGATGGCCCCCTTCAGTCCTGACCACCGTTTCCTGTCGGTCAGAAAGAGTCCCCTGAGAAGAGAGGTAGCTTGGAACATCTGGAGGCACAATGGTTTCATCTGCAAGGAGAGAGGACAGTCAATGCCGGGTTCCCCGGCACACGTCAGGTTCCAACCTGAGAGCAAGCAGGCCAGCCAGCTGGACGGGACCTGCTTAGCATCACCTGGAACCCAGGTATCCACAGCACGGAGCCAGATGCCCAGAAACCCCAGATGGGAGACCAGTGGGGAAGGAGCTCCTGGGTGCAGTGAGGCCACCACCCCGCAACCCTACGATAACAGCTAAGGACGCCTCGGGCCACTGCCTGGCCTGTGACTTTAGGAGACAATCCCTGCTGCTGGGGACACTTGGAGCTGACCACAGCCTCCAGAGTTTCTCTGCAGATGGGCCAAGGCCTCTGGCTTGCTGACCTGTGTTGGTGACACTGTACTCCTCACTCTTCTTCCGGGTCTGGTAGATGATGCACACCCAGACCAGCGAGGTGAGGACAATGCTGCACACCACGGCGATGGTGAAGATGCCCACGGTGGTCCCGTCCTTCCTGCACCCCGGGGTGGGCAGGATGCTGAGCTGGCTGTGTGCGCGCGCTGTGCCCAGGGTGTTGGAGATCTCGCAGGTGTAGTGGCCCGCGTCCTCTGCCACCACGTTCTGTACCACGAGCAGCTGGTTGCCTGGGGTGAAGTGGTGCCTCTCGGTGAGGCTCAGCGGACGGTCTTCCTTGAGCCAGGTGATGCGGGGAGAGGGATTCCCAGTGGCCTTGCACTGGAAGGCCACCGTTTCCCCCACGGACACCACACGGTCTTCCAGGGGCACCAGTAAGGCCGGGGTTTCTGCAAGAACACGGGAGAAGCCAGATTATCCTGCAAGCCTGGAGTTCTGCATGTCTGCTGGACAAGGAGCAATCCAACACCACTGCAGTGCCACGAGAGCTCTTTAACCAGAGAAGCTGGCTTTTCAGCAGACCTAAGGAGACCCAAGAATGAACTGCCCACACCAACAGGTGCTGCTCCCAGCCTGCCCTGCTCTGGTTTTAGTTTTAGAGCCACAGCTGATGGTGCTTGTGGGTTGCTCCTAGCAGTGCTCAGGCGACCCTGTGGAGCTGGGGACTGAACCAGAACCTTCTGCATGCAAAGCATGTGCTCCGGCCTGCCGAGCTCTCCTCAGCCCTGCATCACCACTCTTCACCCAGACCACCTACAGCTGCCCACGCCCAAGAACAGTTCAGATGTACTACATTCTGTACCTGTGGGTACACAGGTTACTGGCCCCTAAAGAGATGGAAGCACTTATTCCAGAGCATTTTATTTTTTCCCTTTTGGGGTCACACCTGGCCATGCACAGGGGTTACGCCTGGGAGTCCTCGGGGGACCATATGGAATGCTGTGAGTCAAACCGGGGTCAGCTGCATGCAAGGCAAACGCCCTACCTGCTGTGCTATCGCTCCAACCCTAGAGTAATTTTTTTTGGGGGGGTGGTCACACCCAGCAATGCGCAGGGGTTACTCCTGGCTTTTCACTTAGGAATTACTCCTGGCGGTGCTCAAGGGACCATATGGGATGCTGGGAATCGAACCCGGGCTGGCCGTGTGCAAGGCAAACACCCTACCTGCTGGACTATTGCTCCAGCCCCTCCCAGAGCATTTTAGCACACAGCCTAAACTCTTGTAAGGAGAAACAGCCTCCCCTGCCCTCTGGTCCACGAACACACAGCCATATGCTTCACGTATTGGTGGTCAGACCTAAGACGGTCAGGGTGGCGTTGGCAGAGATGAAGCCGGCCGAGTTCTGGGCGGTGCAGCTGTACACGCCCATGTCGTCTATTTTCACGTCCGTGATGAAGAACACGTCATCGTCCGGCATGACGTGCATGCGCCGCTCACGGGCCGCGGGGAAGTCGGTGCCTCCGTCCTTCTGCCAAGCGATCTGGGGGTTCGGGTGGCCAGTGGCAGCACACTCCAGGCGGGCCGTGTTGCTGGTCCGGATGGCAATGTCGTGGGGGATTTTGGTGAAGGATGGCAACACTGTGGAATACACACAGAGTTCGGTGTGGCTTGGCAGGGCCAAGGCCAAGGTCAAGGAAGCCCTCTGCAAACAGCCTTCCTCCCCACCCTCCCTGCCTACAGCTGCCTCAGACCCCACCCCCACTCTGAGATCAGGAGCATCCAGTTTCTCCCTGCCAGAGGGGTGGGAAGCTGGGGGTGACCTGAGGGGAACGTAACTCAGGAGTCCCCTCCCGTCCCTCAGAGGCCAGCCTTCCCAGAGGAACGGGAACTTCCTGCCGGATGGATGTGCAGGGCCAGGCACAGAGACGGGTGCCCCACTAAGATGCCGCCACAGGTGGGACAGTGGGAGCAGGCAGGAGGAAACGGGTGGGGTAGCCCTCAGAATTCAGTGTGGGAGATGGGGGGTGGCTGACATGTGGCTCACTGCCCCCCCAGGAGGTGCCTAGTCACGTGGTGGCCCAGTCATGAACACTCCCAACTGTCACGAACTCCAGCGGGGTGACTGCCAGTTCTCTGTGGAACCTAGAAATGCAAAGACTCCCTCAAAACTCAGCCGAGACAAGCCAGCCGCTGGGCCTGTGGTGTTGAAAGACGTAAGTCCAGCATTTGCAACGACCCCAAAGCTTGTTTTTTTCCTTCAGTGCCGAGGGCCTCACACATGCAAGGAAAGTGCTTAATCGCTGAGCCACATCTGGCTAACTGAAATTTGTTTGTGTTGGCCTTTTGGGTCATAGCCAGCAGTGCTCAGGGGTTACTCCTGGCTCTGCACTCAGGAATTAGTCCTGGCAGTGCTCGGAGGACCATACTCAGTCACATGCATAGCAAATGCCCAACCCGCTGTACTATGACTCGTCCCCCAGCCAGCTGACCTTTCAATCTGCAGCTTAATGTTCAAGAATATCATGCTTCATGAGAAAATGCTCTACGTCACTAATCATCAGAGAGATGCAGATCAAAACCACAATGAGATATCATTTCACACCACAGAGACTGGCCCACATCCACAAGAACAAAAGCAACCGGTGCTGGCGCGGATGTGGCGAGAAAGGGACCCTCCTTCACTGCTGGTGGGAATGCCGGCTGGTCCAACCCTTTTGGAAAACAGTATGGACGACTCTCAAAAAATAGAATTTGATCTGCCATTTGACCCAGCTATAGCACTCCTGGGAATATATCCCAGAGAGGAAAAAAGGTATAGTTGAAGTGACATCTGCAATTGTTTGTTCATTGCAGCACTCTTTACAATAGCCAGAATCTGGAAAAAACCTGAGTGTCCGAGAACAGATGACTGGTTAAAGAAACTTTGGTACATCTACACAATGGAGTACTATGTAGCTGTTAGAAAAGACGAAATCATGAAATTTACATACAAGTGGTACTACATGGAAAGTATCATGTTAAGCGAAATGAGTCAGAAAGAGCGGGATAGACACAGAAAGATTGCATTCATCTGGGGAACATAAAGCAACAAAAAGGGAGATTAACACCCAGGAATGGCTGAGATTAGTACCAGGAATTTTGCTCCATGAATGGAAGGCCAGCCACACGTTACAGGTGAAAAGAAGCTCAGATAGAGAAGAGAGCACCAAATGAAGGGTGTTGTGAGGACCCTCCCAGGGTGGGAGAAGCATGCTAAAAGTCGTCGATAGACCAAACATGATTGCCACTCAAAGCCTCTCTTGCAAAACACAGGACCCAAAAGAAGAGAGAGAGAACAAGGGGGAATGCCCTGCCACAAGGCAGGATGGGACGGGGGGGATGGGGGGTGGGGGGATGCTGGGACCCGTGGTGATGGATGACGGGCACTGGTGGAGGGATGGGCACTTGATCATTGTATAACTGAAACCCAAGCACAAAATTTGTAAGCCTATAACTGTACCTCATGGTGTTTCACTAGTAAAAAAAAGAAAAAAAAAATTAAAAAAAAAAAAAAAAGAATATCGTGCTGTGGGGGGATCAGTCGCTCAGGCTATTCACCTCTCTCCTTCTACCATGAACTCACAACAACAGCAAGTAAAAGGGCTTGAAGTTGAAGAGCGCCACTTAATTAAGATTCACCCAGCTTAATCCCTTGACTGGGTGGAAGACCCTTGTCAGACACCGTGCAGTCTTCCCGCCGCCTGCCTGGCACTCGCCCACTCACCCGCTCCAGCCCTGAACTCACAGCTGCGGGAGGTTGGACCAGCCTGGATTCCCACGAACTGACCCGGGCCACCCAGGCTGGCTCGAGCGCCATGGCTGGGCCGAAGGAAGGCAGCAACTTCCCCAGGATGAGATGTGTAATCCAGATACTAGACACCTGAGTGTATGCGGCTCGGATCCGCTCTTTCACCCACTCCAATAACTGGGTCTTTGAAACGTCCCCACAGCAGCGCAGCAGTAGAGCACTTGCTTACACGTGTGAGATCTTCGGTCTGAGCCCCGGCACCGTGAGTAGGGAGATAGCTCGAAGGGCTGGGGTGCAGTTGCCTGGCATGTGTGAGGCCCTGAGCTTGATCCCCAGCATTACCTGGGCCCCAGGCACTGATGGAAAGGCCCTGAAAAAGCCCATAGACAAGGAATCTAGCAGAGATACTGCTTCAGTCTAACATTCCTGTGACAGCTGTGTCCCCCAACTGGGCAGCTCCACAGAGGTGACAGGGGGCCACAAACGGGGCGCCCTGGGCATCTCCCACTTCCATACCATTCACAGTGAGCCTGGCCTTGTGCGAGTAGGTGGAGCCAAAGTGGTTGGTGATGATGCACTGGTAGCGGCCCTCATGCCCGAAGGTGACGTTCCGGAGGTGCAGGATGGTGGTGTACTCCATCACCTCCCCGTCCTGCGCACGGACGTGGGCAAAGTTCTCCATGTCGGCATTGGCCAGGACCTCATTGTCCTTCTTCCAGGCGAATGTCATGGGTGAGCTGCTGCTACTGGCTGCCGAGCACGTGAACCGGACGTCGGTGCCTTGCAGGGCCATGGTCACCTCGGGCTGGGTAATGATCTGCGGCTTGGGGAAGTCATCTGGAAGAGAAGTGTCACGTGTGAATCCCTCAGGCTCTTAGGACGCACGAGACCAGCTGCTGTGCGAGCGAAAGAGAAACTGAGTCAGCCCCTGAGCAGGGCTCTGATGTTTCAGGGTTGCTGTGCGTCTTCAGCTACACCAACATCTCTGGGGGAAAAGCACCTGGGACACCTGCCTTCACACTCTTCCAAACCCAACAGCAGCAATCATCTTTGTCACTGTACTTCTGGGAAGCAAATCTTTCGGTATTCAATTATCAGAGCAACCAGCAATTTCTGAGACTCCAGTTGGCTTTAGTTGCCTAAATAGTTAATCAAAAATAGTCACGGTTTCACACACCTCACTCCCAAAAGAAGTGGTCATGAGGGGCTTTGTAATGTCAAAACAAGGTCTTCTTAAATTCCGCACCACCATTAAAGGAAAACTCTCAAAATCTGTGATAACCAGCCCTTTCGGAATTCCTGAAAATAACCATAATCTTACAACCACCCAAAGAGTTCAAGAAGATGCCTGAACTTCGGTAGGTAAACCAGAATCTCATCTCTATCCTCCTAGTTCCATAGTAGCCTCGATACCCACAAGCCTCAACTGTTGGTATCTAGAGCCCCACTCCCACGACCCCCACCACACACGGGCACAGGCCAAGGCCCAGGCTTAGGAACCCGTGGGGCCTAGCTAGGGGTAACCTAGAAAGTTCCAGCCACGGAACTCACATTTACTTGATGCAGTTTGCTCAGCAAGAGAAGCTCGAGTCCAGGGCAAAGAATCCGCAGCCACTGCTGAGGCAGTAATAGTAGCTGGAAAAAGACTGGCCAAAACACTTCAAACCATGGCAACTGAATGCTGATTGGAGCTGTGGAATGAGCCAGCAGAATACCAGGGATCTGGAGGGCCATGCACACACCATATTACTGCAGTGAAGATTCACTAGGGGTTTGGGATGTGGCTCAGTGGTGCAGTGCCTGCCTTGCATGCATGAGGCTGTGAGTTCGAACCCCAATCGTGCCCTCACCACTGTCACTGACTGAGATCCCTACTCTGCAAGGGCGAGCCTTGGTACCACATCCAAGTGTGGGATGCCTGGCACGCTGCAGCGGCAGCAGCAGCAAACGGAAGGGAGGGGCGCTTCGCCGGAAGGGTCCCTAGCCAAAGCTGAGAGCGGGCAGAGTGTCCCATGAATCTGAATCAGGCCAACCGAGATTAGACAGTCTGAGGAAATAAAAGGAATCAAGAAAAATGAACAGAGAGACCTGTGGGACACATTAGGCATCGGAACACAGCACATGATGGGAGCTGAGGGGGAAGGAAAAGGGAAACGTATTTCAAGAAATACTGGTCTTGGCGTCTCGATTTTGATAGAGAGTCTTCTACACATGTAAGACACTCCACGAATTCCAAATAGAACGGACACAAAAATCCACAACCAGATGGTTCACAAACTGCAGAGAGACAAAGAATCTCAGAATGAAAGTGCCTGAAGGCAGCAAGAGCAGGTCCTCAGATATACGAAGTCTCCCCAGTAACATCAGCCGCTGACTCTGCTCAGAAACCACGGATGCCAGGAAGCAACAGGAAGACACAACACCAAAAAGGACAGTCAACTGAGAATTCCACATCCAGAAAAATTACCCCCCCCCAAAAAAATTAATTAAACATTCACATGCTTAGAACAAAAAATAAAAGGGGGGCTGGAGAGACGCCACAGGAGGTGGGATGTGGGTGTGCTGGCTATGACCCCATCTTGACGCCCCAGCACAGTATACGCGTATGAGTCCCCTGAGCACTGCCAGGGGTCGCTTCTGAACAAAGAGCCAGGAATAGCCCCTTAGCACTGCCTGGTTTGACCCCAAATCCAATCTACCAAAGATAATTCATAATATACCTCTCCTATAGGAAATACTAAAGGAAATCTTCCAGACTGAAACAAAAGGATAAACATCATTAAAGGTAATGAGTTAGTATGTAAAGACAGCCTGAGTGTATTTGCGTTCAGAACTCTCTTCTATCTCATTTAAAAGAATTACTTGAAGTAACAACAGAATACCACCATGAGTGTCCTATGTACAAATGCAACATATACAAAGGAGGGTGGGAAAGCTTAAGAGCAAAATTTTACAGGCTGCAGATTTCACTATTAATCTAAATTAGATTTTTGGGTGTTATTATAATCCTCATGGCAACCACTAACAAAATTTTAGAATACTGAGAGAAACCAAAAGGGAATTAAAATGACATAATAGAAGATATTTAGCTACTTAAATAAGAAACTAGTAATGGAGAAAGACAGGGACAAAAAAGATGGAACAGTAACTAACAGCAACTCACAAATTCCATCCTTTGGTTGGGGGTGCAGGGGCGCACCTCCAACCACCCGCCTCCGTGGCTCTCAGGGGACTGTGTGGTGCTGAGGATCAAACTTGGGGCTCGATATGCAGAGCATGTGCTCGAGCCCTCTGAGCCGTCTCCCTGGTCCTCTAAAAGGCAGGGCATGCCCAGATGGATAAAAACACACAATCTAACCATACACTGATACGTACCACTCTTGCAACGCTGCAACAGACAACCTGAGGCAGTTTTGAAACGGGATCTTCAGAAGCAAGAACCGGCATTCTGGGGCGGGAAGTGGCACCCCCCAGAGAGCGGTCTCCAAGCAATGACAATTCCAAAAGCCACCACTAGCTTCCCTGGACATCTCCCAGGGCCTTGCAGGGATTTCTGCACCCAGTCATCCGCAGGGTTTCGGCTGCCCTCCGCCACCCTCTGCCTTGTTGCCCGAATCTCAGGGGGGACTGGGCCAGGACATGAAAGGCACGAGGAGGCATGATGACCAACCACACGTGCGCAGAACACCGCTACAAATCCTGATGTCATCCCTTCCTACTTCTTTAAGATTAAAACAAACAAACAAAAACCCTTTTGGTCAGGCAGCTTGGTCTGTCCCTGCCTCTGCCTTCTGGCCTGAGTTAAAGTTTCTGTCAATAGAAACCCCATTCCTGTGCTAGATTTCCTGGAGAGCACGAAGTCCTAAGAAACTGATCTGCCAGGAGAGCATCTTTTGGAGTCTTGCTACCACATACTGAGTGTTTTCATTCTGTTCTGTGCTGGGGATCAAACTTCGTCATGACTCAACATGGCAGACAAACACTCTACACTGCAATACTCCTTAGCCCCGTTGTTTGTAGGGTCTGTTATTGGGGGGGGGGGCCTGGGGGGGAGAGAATCCCCAGTAGCGGTAGTATCGCCGGGATACACCTACTGGTGTTTGGGAAACCAGAACCCGGGGCCCCAGTGTGTGTACACAGCCCTTTGAGGCCTCTCCCTGGCCCACTGCTGGTGTGTTTACAATTTCTTGCTGAACTGGATCAGGAGAGAGGACAGGCCTGCACTAGAAGTGCAAGGGCTGGTCGTGGACAGTGGACTCCAGTAAGGGGGCGCCTTGTCTTGTCTCCAGCCAGCACACCTGCCACGCCCGTGATCCTGTGACCTCAGGCAATATGGGCAGTGCCCATACAGGACACACAGGGGAGCTCCTATGTGGGGACATCCAAGGGTAGACTCCAGAACTCAGGAAAAACAGGCAGGACAGAGGCAGAAGGGACACATAACTGCCCTGTGGTCTGGGCCTGGCGCAGGAACCCATCTTCACTCCTCCTCAGAGCGAAAACTAGGAATAACTTAAAATTCATTCATTCTTTTGCCACATCTTCTGGCCACAGAGCTGCCTTACTCATATCTGACTGTGGTGTGTGCGTGCGTATGTGCATGGGTGTTCGGCTGTCGGGTACTTTATGTGCTTTACAACCTTGGGTCCTAACCGCTCCTGGTCAAAAAGACGGTCAGAGCTGCATTCCAATGGTCAGAAGGAAAAAAAGAGTTAAAGCTGCATCTGCAGCTTTAGAGAAACAGCAAGAGTGCAAGTCAACATCAAGGAATTATTTTTACTGCGGCAACTGTTCTCCTGAGACTCCTTCTTCCTGTAGTTAACCTTTCATTCTTGGGGCTGGAAAGAAACACACATGAAAACCCCAGCCTCGCACACTGAGTAAATTCACAGCAGAACCCAGGCAGCAGAACCCTCTCGAAATAACACGAGGATCTTCCTGTAATTGATTATTCTGATTTGTAAATGAACCAACTCATGCTCGCCCCTCCTCTGAGAACCACAGAAAGAGGCAGCCGTGTGGTCCACACCAAGTGTGGTTTCAGTGGGGAAGGAGCTGCCTCCAGCAGTAGACGGCTGACGACGGGCTGAGGCTGAGTGACCACAGGATCCCGTCCCATCGTGCAGAGTTCCTCCCTGGCCTCCCTGCCCTTACTGGGTGGGTGGGCGGGGGGAGGGGGATTGATAGGGCAATCACGAAGACAAGTCTTACCACACACGAAACTCTCTGGCGGCACAGAGAAAATGCTCTGGCCCTTCAGGGACTCTGGGTGGGCACAGGTGGCCGTCACCAAGGTCTGCAGCATCCGGCCCCGCAGCCACGGGGGTAGCCACTGCAGCTGGCAGTCACACAAGAAGCTGTCGCTGCTGATGTGGCTGCAAGACAAACAGAAGGAAGGTCTGAGGGGTGAGCACGGAGAAGGCCAGTCCCCCAGTCCCGAGGGATGGACTGCAGATCCTGGGTCCAAGGGGCAGCGACCAGGGAGGCGCCCACATCCTCGGCCAGACACCGCTCTGGGACGCCCCTTCTCCGGTCGGTGGCCCCCTGCCCATCTCTCCGCCTTTTCCCACTTGCCCCAGCGACTCAGGGACTTTCCTGACTCCAGCTGACGGGAGGACGACTCTGAAGCACATTCTGAGAAGGGCTCTTTCTCGGGCGCTGTCACTTCCCTGGCACGGGTGAGCCCTGCCAACGTGCTGCGCCCCCCCCCCCCCCCCCCCGTGCTTGTGTTTCTCTCACTCCAGCACTGGTCTGGGGACCAGCGGGAGTCGGCTCTGCTCCCTAAATAGTGCCTGGGTCGCTAACTGCCACTGCCCAGGGAGCATGAGAATGCACAAGTTTGGTTTTGTGAAGCTCCAACCAAAACAGAGAATATTTTCTTTTTCATTTCTCAGCAACTGAGGACAAGCTTTTTCAACAGAGATCAGGATCGCCATCTCAGTGGACATTCCTTCCGGAGGAGTCACTCAAAGACAAGTCAACCCCAGAGTCTCGCTGGCCTGTTCCTGGAAGACCGCATGGCCCTGCACCAACAAAGGGAGGCTGGTCCACAGCAGGAGAAAGAAGAGGAACATGCGTGGCTCTCCTTGTTGTGAACTGTCCCTATGAATCGTCCCCGCAACGCAGGGGCCGGTGTGCTTCTTGGCATGCTCTGGGGCCCGCAGTACTGCCGTAGCCACACTCTTCCCACCATTTTTTCTCCAATAGGAACAAAGCAACCAAGTGGACTGGAGTTCTGGGAGGTGGGTGCAGGCCTGGCCACACCTGTTTATGCTCAGGGACCACCTGTTTATGCTCAGGGACCACCAACACTCTTGGTGTTGCTCAGGGAAACGTATGTGGTGCTGGAGATTGGACCAGAACTGGCTGCATGCAAGGTAAGCGCACTACCTACTGCACCACCTCTCCGGCCCCTGGAGTTCTGGTTTCTTCTGTTGTACTATTTCTCTAGCCCTCGTCATTAGATCTTTTTCATTTCTAACATTACATTCAAATGGTTTCAGAGACAGAAAAGTTGAAAGAAATGTACAGAGAAGACTCACATAGTCCCCACTTGGATTTTGTAATAAAATCTTTCATAATGAATAGATAGTTGCTCTATCATGTATTCATCCTTGGGTCCATCCTCTTATATTTATTGGCCTCCCAATAAATTGTGGCTCAGGGGACCTGGGGACCAGTGACTCTTGGCCAGCAGGGCCCAAGGGAGAGGGCCGCACAGAGTACCAGGCTGCACCCGGGGCTGCTCGAGTACCAGGGGCTGCCAGAAACTGAACTCGGGTGGGCCTCACATGAGCCCCGTCTCCTGCCGTCTCCCCGGCCCCTAGACCCCTCCTTTCGAAGCGGTCTCTGCTCACTGCCTGCCTTCCTTTCTTCCTTCAGGACAGCGTGGGTCACGGCACAAGGAAAGCATTTCGTACTCAGAAATTCTCTGCTCGTGACCGTCCGAGTCGCGGGAGCCCGGTACTTACAGCTCTCGAAGACTCTTCATCCTCACGAAGGCATCAAACTGGATGGACCGGATTGCATTCTCTCCCAGGTTCCTGCAAAGCAACACTCTTAAGTGACACACACAAAACCTGCATCCCCTGCAGGCCAGCCACATGTTTGGGCCGTGGGCTCAGGGACCACCCGTGGTGCTGAAGAGCCGCTGACCCCTGGTAGATTCCCTTGTCCTACTTTCTAAGTGACTATCATCTCACGGGCACTGAACAGTTCCGGGACCAATCCAGCGGCAGAAGTGCCATGGAAACCCCGTGCAGGGGCTGAGGGATGGCTCCGAACGGTGAGAATACACACTTTCCACATGCACATCCTGAGCACGGAGCCAGGAGCATGGCTGGGTATAGCCCTCAAACAAACAAAACCAAGCAATCTTGACTGGGACCTGCTCAGAAAGTCAACAGGCAAAACCTTCCTCTGGAGACTTAAGGTCCAACTTGATTCAAAGATGAAACCAACTAAGACTCAGGGACTAGAGGTCTCTGACAACACCAGCTCCAGCCTCGTCTCCTGAGATGCTGCTCAGAGGCCAAATGCACCAGACAAGACTCTCCGGGAAGCCAACACAGGTTCAGTGCCACACAGCTGCCTCATCAGGGGCCAGGGTGAGGCTGATGGGCACCATGTATTCCCCCAACACCAGCTGCATTCACCGGGAACTCGCTGGTTATGGTCTCTAACTGCCTCCGGCACAGACAGGCAGCATCAAGGCCTTAGCTGAAGCTGACTTCTAACAAACTCGCTTGTTTCCTGGCTTACAAAGATGCGACTGCTGCGTGAGCCGACTTCTCCGCACGTGGCAAATCTATGGGTCGGGGAAGGGCTGGCAAGATACTCACAGGTACTCCAGGCCTTCCAGTCCCGAGAAGGCGCGCTTAGCCACGGACTTGATCTTGTTTCCAAACAGAGTCCTGCAGGTTCCAAACGTCCAGAGACAAGAAAAGAAAAGGGGGGTAGGGGGGAGGAGAAAGGGAGGTAAAGAAGGAGAGAGGGAGAGAGGAAAGAAAGGAAGAGAAAGAGAAGGAGAAAAGCAGAGAGGGAGAGAGAAGAGGAAAGGAGAGGGAGAGAGAAAAAAGAGGGAGAGAGAGAAGGGAAAGAGGCAGAGAGAAGAGAGGGAAAGAGAGGTTGAGAGAGAAGAGAGGGAGAGAGAGGGAGAGAGAACACAGTTAGGGTGGTGCTATCTGACAAGCCGGTACCAGGAGAGGCAGGTGGAAATCTGATCTCTGCTGAGATTACGGGTCTCAAGTCTGCCTGCCTTCCCATTCTGGAAGGAAATACTTTTTATCTTTATTAGAATTTAACAGTGATGACAGGTTGGAAGTGTAGGACCCATCTCAGCTACAAGGGCCTTTGCAATGTTACGTGAAAATCAATTCATCTGAAGGTCCAACCAGGACCACCCAAGGCTGGGGAAGTGAAGCCCAGCCCTGCTCCCCTGGAGTGAGGGGCAGGTCCGGTTCCAGTGAAAGGAAGCCAGGCCGACTACATTTTGTAAGGGAATACACACCTGGGGCGACAAGTCAAATCTACCACCAAGTTCCGAACACCCCACCCTGGAGACAAAGGTTCCCAAAAGAGGCCAGATAGCACCCCTTGTTTTCGGCAGCAGGTGCTTCCTGGCAACCGGGATACAGCCCCAGCCAAGAGACCCCACCGGCAAAGGTGTCTGCGTGCCCACAGAATATTGCGCAGCTGTTTGACCCCTTTAGCAAGGGTCCAGATTTTAAGTGGAGGCTGTGGGCTGATTAAATCAGACTGATGTGAAGGTCAATCTCCCAGTTTACCCGATACCGGCCCCCCGCGGTGTCTGCCAGGACAGACTCCCCCCCACATCCACGTCACTTCCTGCCGGTCCCAACCCCACCCTTGGCAGGAACCCTAAGGAGGCCTCCCAGGAACCTGCCTGTCCCCGGAGCACACGCGGAGAAATGAGGGCTTCTCCACTGGGCCCGGAAACCCAAAGGAAAGTAGGTTCTTACTGTTGTTTTAATCCAAGCTCACTCTCTTTCTGCCCGTTTCAGAGCAGGGCACCCAGGGTAGGGTTGCCCCTCCCTGCGCTGATCCCCACACCCGGATGCTCTCTGGACACAGGCTGCACAAAGTGCCAGGGGGCAGCAGCGGGAAAGAAGGTGGGTGGGAAAAGCTCCGCTGGGCAGATCCTGGCCCTGCCCTGGCGCCGCCTGCGAGAGCCCGTCGTTTTCACCACAGAAGGTAGCGCCCCACCTCGGGCTTCTCCCGCGTTCCTGGCCAGGTGCGCCTGGCGTGAGGCCCCAGTCAGAGCCCCAGCACCATGGTGCCCCTAAAGCTCTGCCCAAGTGTTGCTCTGGTGGACCCTGAGCAAGGTGTGGCCAGGGGGGGAGCTCTGCCAGGACCCAGGCAGGGTCCCTGTCCTCAGCCTCTACAGCCAGGGGAGCTGTCAGGAGCAGCCCCATGCAGAAGACCACTCCTGGCTCGCTCTCCCCTCGCTCTCCCCTCGCCCTCCCCTCCACTCACATCATTCTAGATATCTTTCAATAAAAACTACCTTGCTTCAGCCCTCAAAAAATATTCCTCTAGGGTTTGATTTCGTAGATTACTTAATGGGAACAGGAACACTCAAATTTCTCCATGTGAATTGTTAATAGTGTTTCTCGATCCTAGGTCTTTCAAAGACAAACAGTAACTGAAGTTTACACACTATACTTTGCACGGGAACTGGCAAATTCAGAAATTTATAGCTATTTCACGAACACTAATAATTATTTTACTTATTGGTTTTTGGGCCACCCAGTGGTGCTCAGGGCTCACGCCTGCCTCTGCTCTGGTGGGGGGTGGGGGGTAGGGGAGGAATCACTCCCCGCAGGGCTCAGGGGACCACATGTGGTGCTGGGCACTAAACCCGGATTGGTGGGGTTCGAGGCAAGTGCCCCACTCACGGTATCACCGCTCCAGCTAATAATAATTTTTGTTTAAAATTATGCCTGACAATAAAAACACCAAAGAGACCGAGACAACAAGACTTAGTGGGCTTCAGAGTTCACACAATTTCTAGAGACAGAGGAAGAGAGCAAGCTGCCTTTGGGCACGGAGTGGAAAAAACGTGGCCGAGTTCACGTCGATCGTTAACGAGGAAGATGCCCCGAGGAAGCCAGCGCCGGGCCGGAGAGCAGCTGGGCAGCCCCTGCTCGCAATTCACTTTCCTCCCAAACACAGACGGAGGCGCCGGCTCTGCTCTGGCTGTGGGGGCCAAGGCACGTGGACTGTCCTGTGCCCCAGTGCCACGGAACTGAGCAAGAAGATACTCACAGCCTGCTCAGGCTCTCGAGGCCCGTGAAAGCCCCGCTGGTATCCTCGACCGTGCCTGAGATGTCATTGTGGTCCAGGTCCCTGGGGAGGAGAAACAAGAGGACGCTCAGCATCCCAGAGGGCCCTGCAGACTGGCCTCACCGTGGCCGCCCAGCACCCCGAAGCAGTGCTCAAACCCAGGCCGGGCCCCCTCTGCTGTCCTCCTCTGCCTGTCCCAGCGGCCCCCCCACTTCCTGGGCCTGCCAACAACGCTGACCGAGGCCACAGAGCCAGGCGTCCCTGCACATCTGTCGCTCCCCAGCCAGCGAGAGAACTGGGGAGAGTCAGATTCGCCCTTCCCCTTGCCTCCCCCACAAGAGCAGACATTTGAGGGCAACAAGAATCAGCGTGACGGTTCCCTGAGGCTCCTCCTGCTCCGACAGCAACCCGACCCTTTCCTGGAACTGAGGGGAAGGCAGAAAGCAGGTGGAGGAGAGGGATGGCAGACGAGGACGCCCTGGCACCCCTCGGCCCTCACAGGGCCCGCACAGGCTCTGATGCGGCCAGGCCGGACATCTGGCTGCTGAGTCAGGCCTGTGACCCACTTGTGGGGGGCTGGAGGGGTGAGGCCGGCGTCTGAGCCGGGCTCCCTCCAACAGTCAAATCACAAGGCCGATGACTCAGCTTCCTCCCCTGGCTCCCAAGAGCAGGCCACAGCGCCAGGCCAGACATCCCACCTGGCACCCAGGCCCGGAGTCTGTCCCCTGGCCTGCCCTGGCCAGCTCCCTGGGGGCACTCTGCTCCCACACCTCCCCACCAGTGTGCCTGGCAGTCAGGGCTGGGCCAGGGCCAGCAGGGCTGCTCCGTGGGGGTCCCCAGAGAGCCAGCAGCGAGGGGCGCTCCCACGGAGGAGTGAAAAGCCTGCCCTGACCCTTTATTTCACGGCAGAGCTCCGGGAGCCAGGGCCGGCCACGGGAAGGGCCCTCTCCCTCCAAAGTCTCCTATTATCCTCGCGCTGAAAGGCGGGGAGCGGGCGGGTGGGTGGGGGCTGCAGCTTTGTGTGCCTGTCGCCCTGCTCCTCGTCTTGGCTGCCAACGTTTCCTGCTTCTTTCTGGCCAGCTCAGTCTGATCATTCCAGGCCTTGGGATTCAGCCTTGCGGGGGCTCCCAGGCTGACCCCGGCTTGAATAGCCTGGAGACTCTTTTCATGCTCCCCGACAATGGCTCAGTGCTCGAGCCTGCTAGGCCTCCCTTCCTCCCTCCAGGTGCAGGTGCAGAGGCCGCCTGCCCCCCACTGCCATAGGGCTGCACCTGGGAAGGCAGAGGGGAAAAAAAAAACGATGACAGAAGCCCCAGAAAAGCCTCCTGCCGTGACAGCCTGCCTCCTTAGGAACCAAGAGGGAAGCAACATGACCCCGGAGGAGGTTCTGGAAAGACACAGGATCCACTCACAGCCATGGCAATGGGCCCCCCGATATCAGGTGTGCAGATGAAGTTCAAATGCTGGCCTGACCCTGCCTCCATTTTCCCTGGGCTTCAAAGAAACTCCATACACACAGGCACACAGAGACACACAGACACACACACACACACACACACACAGCAACTGTAAGCACTGGCTTGGCAGCAGTCAGACTTTTTTTCCTCCTGTTCAACCAATTCCTTTTTATCATCTGATTATACACAAGTTTGAGACTGCGCACATGTGTCAGCTCTGGACCCAAGCCTGCCTCCCCGCCAAAGGGAAGGAAGGGGACTGCAGGCCGCCCTGCGGAGAAGACGTACAGGACGCGCAGGCTGCGGAGTCCCTTGAAGGCGCCCTCGGCGATGTGGCTGATGGCGTTGTGGCTGAGGCGCAGGATGCGCAGGCTGCTCAGGTCGGCCAGGCTCTCCTCCTCCAGCCGCGTGAGGTTGTTGAAGGACAGGATCCTGGGGGGGGGGGGGGGGGGGGCGCCAAGGGTCAACGGGAGGCTGCCCTCCCCGCCCCTCGGTCCCAAGTGGCCACCCGCTCAGTCTCTGCTGGACCCAAGTAGCCCATGCGCGGCCGGAGCCACAGTGGTTTTGCAGCTGGAAACCCACGGGCAGTCACCCTCACAGTCCAGCTCCTGGAGAGGCTGCAGCCATCAGGGTTACCAGAACAAGGGGCCAACATAAACCCAGCCAGAAGGACGACCCACGAGGCCCCAGCCCTTTGGAAATGACGGTTCCACGGGTGGTTTTGACAGAGGCCCTGGAAGGGTCTCACAGCACACGGCTGGAGACCGGAGAGGACCCTGAAGGGTCTGGCAGCCAGCAAGGGAGTCCAAGCCGACTGCCACAACGGCCAGCAGAGGGCACCACCACCCACTGCTGGGACAAGCGCCCCGCCTCCCTGCCCGGGGTTCCCGCCAGGATTCCTCGCCCCATCCATGCCAATCTCTTTGCATGACGACCTCCCCGCCCTCTGCCCCAAAGCAAAACTGGGAAAACATGTCCCCAAGTCACACTCCTCTCCTGAGCATCACGATCCACCCTGCCTTCCAGCACGCTCCCTGAGCCTTGGAGACGGGCCAGAGTCAGTTACTGGGTATGGTAAGTCATCTATCATTGAAAAATGGGGGCCAGAGCAGGAGGGAGAATCAATTCAGAGAAGATTAATGAGTTTCTGAAGTGGCAGGGAGTCAGCATTCTTTCCCCTCTTGGAGAAACAAGTCATGGTGTCTGTCAGTCACAAAGACCTGGCAGGAGATCAAAATCACAACCTCACCTGCAATTAAAGAATTTGGCTGAAAGGAGGGGAGGGAAACACCCTGGGAAGCAGCCTTAGAAATGGCGAGGAGGTGACCTGTGGATCAAGTGAGCGGCTGGGACTGGTCAAGGCACTCTCCCGGGAGCGTCTCTGAAGATCCGCTCATGGGACCCCCACAACTGGGGCCTGTCTCTGAAGGCCCACTCAGAGATCTGCCAGCACACACAGGCGGGAGGTAGCACTCCTTCATGGCCGCTCCATGCCACGCTCACCCCCCAGCTTCCAGGACTCCAAGCCTCAGCCACTACACCGGTGCAGGCAGGGGCAGCGGAGAAGAAATCACGTGTGTCCCACAGCGACTGGGATTCATCCTGAGTTTCCTAGGAGCATCCCCGTCTGAGCAAAGAAAGTGCCAGACGCTATCCACTACCCTGGAGATTAGTGTGCAACTGCATCACTTGCTGGGTCAGGAGGCTAAACCCAAAGGGATGACACCAACACACACACACAGAATCCAAGAGTTGGAGACTACTGATTTCTGCCTGAGGGGGTGATGGACTGGCAGAGATACACACTTCAGCTCCGTGTGGGTCGCGTATCAGGGGAGGCAGGAGCAAGAACAGACGGAAACACCAGTGCAAGGTCCAACACTGAGTTTAAGCGTCCTCAGTTTGCCCGATGAGACAGGGAGAGATCCACGGGCCCTGATAATGCAGTGTTCGTGCCGACTACCCCTGATAATGCAGTGCTCGTGCCGACTACCCCAAGCTCCAGGAGCGTGAGCATGGCACATGGCCACACCACTGCAGTCCCGGAGTAGACCCTGGGACACGGGCTATGAAGGGAGTGTCTGGGAAGCCTATGGGAGAGAAGGAGGGTGCGGGGGGCTGGCAGCCCACCACCGACTCAAGGTCTCTTCTGGGATGGGGTGGCTCACACACCAGCCAGGACACAGGACACAGCTCCAGTTATCCCTGGGCTGCGAGCACCTCTCAGGCTTTCTCCACCCTAGCAGGACCAGGGCACAGGCTCCCCGCTCATCTGAAAATGGGGGCACAGAGACACTAGAGGAAGTCAGCATACAGTCACCGAGGGGTGCTGGGCCCAGGGCCCTGCTTAGAGCTGGCCACGGGTTAGTATGTATGGCCAGAATACCGGCATCTCTCTAGAACGAACTGTGGCCAGCTGTCCACCAGTGAGCACCTCGCCCTGAGCTCCCATCTCCCTGCGCCCACCGTGCCGTGTCATCGCCAGGCCCTGGGATCTGGGGGCTTCCGCTGGAGCAGGGCCAGAGAGGGCTACTCACAGCTCGTGCAGCTTCTGGCAGAAGCTCCAGCCGTCACGGTTGATACGCGAAATGGAGTTGTTGCCGAGGTGGAGCTGGTGCAGGGCGGTGAGGCCGTAGAGCGAGCCGCTGTTCACCTCCACCAGGCTGTTGTACTCCAGGTGCCTGAAAGGACACCCCGCAGCGTGAGACGCGACTCCCCGCGTGCCCGGCGCCCACACAGCAGCGAGTGGCGAGAGGACCCTCCGTCTCGGTCCACGGGGAGTCTAACAGTGTGTGAGGACCAGTGTTAGCGCGGCATGTGTGTGGGGAAGGCCAGAATGCTGCCACAAAGGCCCTCGAGGTAGGTGGGAAGGGTGACGCGATCGGCACAGAAAGCGTTTTCATCCTGTTACTCTGGCAAATAACTAAGGCAGGGGAGGGGGCGTCGTCTGGACCCACAGAGACCCCCGGGGGTGGGGTGTCCTGAACACACACCATCACGGGTCATCAAGACCCTCAGATCAACCTAACCTACCAACAGCGCGTGCACAAGCGAATACACCTGAAAGTAACCACCAGCGTGACAGAAAACAGAAAAGCCAAACGAACTGGAAAACTGAACCCCGAAAAGCCGTGACTGGGAGTGCGTGCCCCGTGGAAGCAGAAATGGGACAGCTGGTGCGGGGCAGGAATGGCTTCTCTCTGCTGCCTCGTGGTGTGCGACTCAGAGCGTGGCGCCTTTTGATGGGCAAGAAACTGATTTCACCACTTACAAGCAGGAGGTCCTGGTCTGTGGCCCTGGATGAGGCTGGGGCGACTGGGTACACACATCTGGCCGCAGGAGTACCCCCCACCCCTCCATCCCCCCAGCAGAAGGAACAGCTGCAGCGGGCGGAGTGATTAGCTCACCGAACATAAATAAATCCCCCAGGATGAACTACGCATTTTTGGCCCACCTGCACATCAAGAAAGGCTGTCAGCTCCCAAACGGGGAGAGGAGGAACTTCCTGCAGCCATGGGAGGAGGGGGCGGGGGGGGGGGGGGGGGAGACAGCCTGCCCTGCTGTTTCCCTGCCGCTGAGAAGCCAGTGGGGGAGGGGAGAGGACCCCACTTCCTGCTACCCAATCCCTACATCTCTGCGGAAATCCCCCCTTTGATCTGGTCCTATCCCTTAAAGCACAGAGCTGGGCCCCCTAAGGTCCCAAAGGCGAGGGTGTCAGGCCCAGGGGTCCCTCCTGGCTAACGGAGCTCGAGTGTGTGACACACAGAGGGGGCCCCCTCCCCTGAGTCCCGGCACCTCCTGCACCTATACTCACAGCACGTGCATCTTGGACAGTCCCCAGAAGGCCCCGTCTGTCAGCCTGCTGATGTTGTTTCGCTGAAGCTTCAGCACCTCCAAACTGCTGAGGCCCTGGAACGTCAGGCCCTCGATCAGCCGGATCCGATTCCGGTTGAGGTCCCTGAGGAGAGAAAGCCGGTGGCTGAAGCATCTCGACTCGCAGCCCATCACGGACCATGTGGGTGCAGGCCTGTGGGAAGGGCCTGGTATCAGGGCGGGTGGGGACACACACTGGTGGGGCGGCTGTGAGGGAGGGAAGAAGGCACCGGCAGCACCCCGGGGCCAGGCCCAGGTGCCCCCGAAGTGAGCGAACCCTGCTGCACTCCCCCCCCCCACACACACACACAAATCCCTGACCCGCAACGAGGGGCATGACTCGGGGCGGTAGCTGGAAGTTCTCGCTCAGCTCAGCTGCAGAAACCCACGGATGATGCCATGACTCAGGGAAGCCCACCGGATCGGATGCGCCACGGCAGGATGCAGTGACACCTGCCACTTGGTTGGCACACTGACCAGGCCCTCCCCTCAGGACTGGCACTGCACGCTTGGGGCATGCAAGATCTCTGTGCTGTGATCCGGCTCGCATCCGGCTCCCTACCCGCAGATACCGGCACAGCTCAGCAGACACCATCAGAAATCTGGCTGGGCTGCACCCGTTGGTAACACGAGGCTCATCCGAGAGCCCTCGGTCTTCCCCCAAATACTTGTGGATGCAGTGGTCTCCTGACCTGCCCCCACCCCCCACTCCGCCATGCTGAGTCACCACCAGGACCGCAGAGCTGGGAGCTGGGACCTACCCAGAGGGTGGGAGGCAAGAGGTGGGGGTGTTAGGGTTCATGGCTCTCAACAATTGTTCTGTTCTGTTTAAACCCAAGGTCCAATGTCGGCTTCTGTTCTGAGGCATGTTCTGCCGTGGGCGCAGAACCAAACAGCCCATTTCCTGACTCTGTCCCTATGGCCATCCTCGGTCGAGGATGCTCGGCCGAGGTCACTCCAAAATATGAAATCGATTTTCCCTTCGCAAAGTACCGGCCTGTTCCTCAATAGATCCTCCCTGGGAGGCGCGTCTCCCGGCTTGTCGGTAGGTCATCTTTGCGTCCCCTTTCCGTTCTGGAGAAGCCTGTACTTTGTAGAGAACATGCACTTCTCCCTTTCTCTTCCCTCACACCTTTCTAAGGAAGTTTCAATAAAACGATCTTGCTTAACCCCACCCCCACCCCCCAAAAAAGTACCTTGTCCGACTCTGGGGTGAAGATGGCCCCCATCTCTTGCTTGCACTGCCCACCACGGACACTTTTCAAGAAAGGTCAGACATCACAATACCCATGATACAAGCTGCAGAGGAATAGCTGGGGGTGGGGGGATCAAAGACAAAGAACAAAACCTCTAAAGGAAACAGGAATTGACCCAGAGCCTGCATCGGTCACGATCAGCTGATCGGCACAATTCCACCTTCCGCTGTGGGAAGTGCCAAGACGACGAGCACATTTATGTTCAGAGGCTCGGTTTCCCAGCTGCCCGCTCGCAGGCACCAGACCCAGCTACTAATTTCCTTTTACTGGGTGTTGCCGCAGGACCATTAATGCAAAGCCTGACTGGGGCAAGCAGGGAAAGAGCTGCGTTTGGCACAAGGTCTCCGGGGAAATCTGGCCTCCATAAAGTTTGGCTAACCTTAATTAAAGTGCTGGTCTCTGTACTCACAGTTGTGTCAGCCTGGGTAGCTTGAATGCTTTCACAGGAAGCTGGGTGATTCTGTTTTTGCTCAGCCGAAGTGTTTGCAGTGACCGTGACAAACCATCAAACGCACCCGACTCTAGGGTGCTGATGCGGTTGCTCGCCAGGTTGCTGGAAAGGTTCAGGAGGGAAAATGGAGTGGTCAGTGGGAGGCCTTCCTTGTCCGGTCTAGGCCCCAGCCCTGGCCCACTGGAGAGAGAAGCAAACACACAGCCAGAGGAGCGGGCATGCATGGGGCAGCTAGATCCCAGGGTGCCAAAGCTCATCCTCACTCCCAAGGGTGTCGGGGTCAGAATGGAGCCTTGTTTCAGGACTCGACGGGGCTAATAGGCCACCCCGAGTTCCTTCCCTGGTGACTGCATGCCCCCCCAGGACTAGGGAGTGCACGTACTCCCCCAGTACCCCCAAGCACTGCCAGAAGAAACAGCCCCCAACTCCCACCCCATCCCCATGGCCCCTATTTAAAAACAAAGACAAAAAAAAAACACTTCAAAGGTATCTCCACCTATAGGCTTAAGCACATATGGGACCCCGACCTTCAGATCACACATGACTGTACTGCTAGATGCTGGGCATTCCAAAATGTGTAAATTCTATCAACAGGAAACAAGAAAGACAAGAAAAACGGAGGAGGAGACTAGTATTCCTCGGAGAAGCTGCCACACACCTCACACTAACTATCACTGTCACTGTCCTCCCGTTGTTCAACAATTTGCTCGAGCGGGCCCAGTAACGTCTCCATTGTGAGACTTGTTGCTACTGTGTTTGGCATATCGAATACGTCATGAGTAGCTTGCCAGGCTTTGCCATGTGGGTGAGATACTCTCCGTAGCTTGCCGGGCTCTCCGAGAGGGGCAGAGAAATCGAACTCAGGTCGGCCGTGACGGCCGCTTGCAAGGCAAACAAACGCCCTACCTGCTGTGCTATGAAAAACTTCCTCATATCAATCTTAAAAACCAAGCATCTCTTAGGTATACACAATTTTCAGTACAGGGGGCAGAATAATAATATCTCAGATGTTAGATGTATATCAGGTCACACACATTCCATGGTTTTATGGTTAACTACGACATAATTTTCTAGATTTATCAATGCATTTTTATGAAGTAAAGCTGAGAAAATGATTTTCTGTCCTGAAAATGCACAAAGTTTTCTGTATATAATTACTTTATAAAGCCCAGGATGCAAAATGTCATTTTAGACTGTAATATATAAGTGTATTTGGCGACTTTTAGAAGTTAGTGGATTTAATATGTGTTTTCCTATAGTGGCACTAACTATGCCAGACAAATCGAGAGAGAGAGAGAGAGAGAGAGGAGAGAGGAGAGAGAGAACGTGAGTGTGTACTGCAGAGGGAAGGACAACGAGGCATGCGCATCTCTCCTCCAGGGAGTGACCCAGGACAGGGCACATGAGGATTCTTTGCAAATGGGTCTGGACTGTTTGTTCTTAGCACTCCAGATTAAAGAAGAACAGCATGTGTGATGAAGATATACTGGACGGCATCTGCCAAAAGAGAAAGTCCCTCCCGCTTTCGTGCAGACAGGAAAGGTCACTGCAACTCAAGTTCGCAGTTGCTGGTTTCTTTGTCTTAAGCAGAGAAGTGCCAGGTGGCAGCCGGACCCCTTCTGACAGTCCTCCCTGGGGCCGAGGCTCCTGCGGCACAGGCCTCCTGGGCGAGTGCAGACTAAGGGGGAAGTGGCTCCTCTCCCTGGAGGTGCTGGAAAATCCAGGTGCCACCCAAGCCTCGACCTCCCTGCAAAGAGGGGGTCACAACAACCCCTACACCGCCTCAGGAGCCCGCTCCTCCAAAGAGACTCGGGAGCAAGCACTCAGGTCTTTTATAGACTCTTGAACCCACAGCCTCAGTTTCCTCCCCCCTGCAGCATCTTCCGACCAACAAGCAGTGGGGTAGGGAGGTTGTCACAGCTCTTCTCTTACCACTAATGATGTGAGAGAGGGCGGCACTGAGAGGGCCTAAAGCATCTAGAGGGTCCCGAGAACCCAGGGTACAGAAGGTCAGGCCCCTCAAGCAAACCAATCAGAGCTGGAGGGGTCATACCATGGGTAGGTGCTCGCCTACAAGCGGTTAGCCTTGGTTCCACCTCAGGCTCCCCATACAAAGCCAGGAATGACCCCTGAGCACAGAGCTAGGAATACGCCTGAGCCTGAGTGTGGCCCAAGGACTACCCCCCTCGCCCCAGCAACAGAAAATAAACCAGGTGAGCAGCTTAAACAGAGCCCCCGGCTGAAAAGCTCACAGGGACAGGCTGAGCCTCCCGAAAGGGTTTCCCTCAACGGGCTTCCTCCGACGGGGCCGAGATTCTCTACTTGGCGCTGTCTCGGGTTTAGGCTCTGGTGGTCGAGACTGTCCTGGAACTGAGGGGCTGAGTCTCTGCACGGCAAGTCTGAGGCCTCCTCCCGGCATAGGCATCACGGGTCGGGAACCAGTGAGCCGAGGAGCTGCTCCCCTCTCCTGCCCCAAGGTCAGGATAGCACTGCAGGGTCCAGAAGTGCTCGGAAAACAGGCGGGAGGTGGGGGGCGGGGGGGTGGCGAGCGGGCGGGCAGCGGCCTCTGTGCCCACAGAGGACAGAAGCGGGCAGGCAGGTACTCACAGCTCCCGGAGGCGCAGCCCATGTGGAAAGCAGGTGTTGCGCACGTCCGTGATGTTATTGGCACTCAGGTCCAGCACTTCCAGGGCCAGGTACGTCTTCAGCACACTCCCATCCACCGCGCGGATCCTGTTGTGTTGCCTGAAACACAGAGGGACACGACTGGAGCGTGGCATTCTGCAAAGAAATATTGCCGCACCATTTCGAGACACACACACACACACACACACACACACACACACACACACACACACACGGGAAATAACTTGGGCCATTTCAGAAACAAATCAGGAACACAGTGAAGAAAATGAAATCCCCCACTGTCCTCCCCTGGCCCTGTTTCTATCTGCGGCCCGGGACAGGAGAAAACACGGCGCTGTGGGTCTGTGGCAGCTGTGTTTGAGCCCTGGCCCTGGCCGCTCTCCTCAGTCGACGCAGGTGAGGCCAGGGTGGACGGCAGCAGTGGAACCCGGAGTTTGCTGGCTTTGCTGAAGTGACATGCCGACAGTGCGCCCGGCCAGCTCGTTGCTGCTCTCAGTCGTCACCCCCAGAACAGCCCCAGCACCTGCACAGCATTATACACCTAGGGACGACTGACCCTGACCCTGATGACCGGCCATGGAGATGAGCACGGGGAGTTTAAAAGGGGGGGAGGGGGCACAACACTGACCCTTTAACAAGAGAAACCAGCAAGGGCGGGTTTCTTGGAACTGAGTTCCCCACACTCCTGTTCCTTGGGTTCTTCCCCTCCAAGACGGGGGCACATCCTTCGCTGCAGGAGAATGAGAGCGTGCCACACGTGAGCCTCTCATAGGCCTGACTGCCGAGCAAGGCACCTGGATAGCAGGGCTGGTGTGGACGTCCAGTCCTCTTTCTCAAAGCCACCGGCATTCATGAGGAAGAGGAGGGGGCTGACGGAAGAAGGCTGGAGGAAACCACTGTGGCATGGGCTTGGCTCTGCCTGGAGGAACGAAGGCCCTGCCTGATCCCGACACTTGGATACTTGAGAATCTGTCGGGTGGTAGCCCTGGCCTCTGGGTTCCAGGCACTCCCTGGGGCCAGTTTCAGAGTAAACAGTGTCAGGGTCCCCGGCCAATCAAAGCATTCTTGAGCACAAGGCAAGTCCGCAAGGCTCGCTAACAAAGTGCCATCTTCAACAAACACTTGACCAAATCAGTCCCAAAAGGCATAAACAAGGTCCTCCTTCCCAGAAGAGTACACTGTGTGGCGTGTTGTGTGTGCGTGTGCACACGCACACACATGCTACAAGAGTTTCAGAAGGGAATGTGGGTATATGCGCTGTGTGTGTGTGTGTGTTTTACAGGATGCCCAGAAGGGTGTGTGTGTGTGTGTGTGTGTGTGTGTGTGTGTGTGTGTGTGTGTTGCGGGGGGAGGGGTGTCTGTGTGTGTCAGAAGATTCTCAAGAAGGCAATGGGGGGCGGGGGGAGTGGTGTGTGTGTGTGCCTGTGTGTGTGCGCGCGTGTTGCAAGACTCTCAGAAGGGTGAAAGGTGTATGTATGTGTGTGTGTGTGTGTGTGTGTGTGTTACAAGACTCCCAGAGGGTTATGTGAGAAGGTGTGTATGTGTTACAAGACTCCCAGAAGGTTATGTGAAGTGTGTGTGTGTGTGTGTGTGTGTGTGTGTGTGTGTGTGAGAGAGAGAGAGAGAGAGAGAGACAAGACTCCCAAGCCCTGATCTCCCTGGAATGAAAGACAGTTTTTCCCTTCCAAGCCCCTCCTCTCCTACCCCAAGCCACTTCCTTTGAGTTCTTTATAGTAAGTTCTTAATAAAGATAGTCCCTTCAGTTTTCTGACTCCAAAAGAACAAGGAAAAATGAAAATAAAAGGAAACTTTTATTACGTAAAGTCTGGGGTGGGGGAGGAGAGGAGAGCTAAAGGCAGCAGAGCTGAGCTGTGCAGGATTCCTGATGCACCAAGTCCTGAGAGACTGAAGGGGAACACAATGCACAGGGTGGGGGGGAGGAAGGGCGGGGGGCTCACAAAGAGGGCCCCTCCCCGCCCCCGCCCCGGCCCCTTTCTCCCTCCACACCATCCCAGGCCCCTCTCCTGCCCCCACCTTGGCCGCCATGACCTCTGTCTTTGTCTTTCTCCTTCTGTCTAGAGCGTCACTGAATCAAAGGCTGTGGGCCCCGCTCCATGCCAGGGCACGCTGAGGAGGACGGCCCCTTTCACACGCCGGGAAGGTCCCCGTGGACAGAGAGGCAGCCATGGAGACAGGACGGAGGGCGCGTGGGAATGAGGGTGACAGGGGCTGGATGAAAGGAGGGACCGGCGCTGGATTCTGGGAAGAGGATGCCGGGGGCAGCTGAGCGGGCAGGATGCCCGCTGCCAAGAAGAAAAAGGCAGGGGCCCGTCAGGAGCGGTGCCTGGAGGGCCGGCCAGGAAGACCATGAGAAACCGTGTCCCGGCACAATCAGGCCGCAGAAAGCTGGGGCCCGGGGCCCAGGTGAGCAAGGCAACAGAAAGCGACACGACAAGCATCAGGGGACCCACGCGGGGCTGGTTTGAGGGAGGGGGTGCATCAAATGACAGGGCCAAAATTTCTATTTTGCAAAGGTTAAGACAACCAGGTTAGCAAGCTACTGCTGCACTTTCCTCCCTGCCCGGGAGACCAGCTGCAGGGCTCCTGCATGCCAGGAGAAAACATTCCCGCAGCATCTCTCCCAAAGACCGTGTCAAACACAACCGTGGCTCAAACACAAGACCCAGCAACCAGACAGCTGCTCCTCAAGAAACCACACGAATGGTGAAAGGCAACCAGGAGAGGCGCAACGGGACACGAGCTCCTAAGCTCAGGGTGGCTGCTAGTTAGATGTCAAAGACACGAGTTCTCCTCAGGGAACACGTTTCTTTACACATGAAAGCTACAATGGGCATGGAACCCAGCAGCCCGACCTCAGTGCACATCCTGAACAACTAAGAGCATAGTTCAACACTGTTTCGAGAACTTAGTCCTACACTAAGTTCCTCCTCACTCGAGGAGATCCTTTTCTCTTCTACTTTCAAATGAAAAAACATCGACAAAAGTCTATTTCTAAAAAGGGAAGCAAACCACACTCCAAGGAGGGTGGACCAATGCCCTGTGGGACACACAAAGTGCGTGAGTAAGGTTGGCTCTTGCTCAACCATGAGCAGGAAATTCACACACATGCTACTGCAGGGAGCAATTCCTGAGCACGTGAAGGTACCTGCTTAAACTCTGCAGCAAATATGTTGTTTTTTACTGGAAGCAGCATCACATTATAACATGTAAGTTGCATGTGTATACCACTGAAACTCAATTAAGTTTACAAACACTAAAAAAGTACAATCTGATTCTTCACCCTACTGCTGGAGTGATAGCCCAGCAGGTAGGGTGTCTGCCTTGCATGCTGCCAACCCAGCCGACCCGGGTTCGATTCCTCCGCCCCTCTCGGAGAGCCTGGGAAGCTCCGAGAGTATCGAGCCCGCATGGCAGAGCCTGGCAAGCACAGTAACAAGTCTCACAATGGAGATCTTACTGGGCCCCTCTCGAGCAAATCGATGAACAAGGGGAGGACAGTGCTACAGTGCTACAACTCCGAGGACATAATGTTTAAAGAACAGAAAAGCTGGACAGGAAAGGGCAAATACTGGCTGGTGACACTTCTTCAAGGTATTGTCTACAGATGTCAAATTCCTGAAATCGAAAACAGGGTGGTGAGTGGAAATCCTCGTTTCACAAGACAGAAAAGGTTCCGCCCTGGGGAAACACTGTACAACACATGCACAGTACTTGGAGACTCAACCCTACTGAACTTGGAAGATAAAAATGGTGACGTTTTCATTTCGCCTATTTTGCCACAAGAAATTAGAGTAAAACCCAAATCAGTTCATGGAACTCCCCAGCTGGAGACTCTGCTGTCATTCCACCCTCCCCGCCCGCCACACACCATCCTTTTTCTCCCAGCAGCAGTGTTTTCACCTATTTCTAGTCTGATATCTTCTTTCCCATCAAGACAAGTCGCCACAAAACTGGAGATGTTGGCTCGTGTTGTCCACTGCTGTGTCTCCAAGCCACTGAAAAGTGTGAGGCACATACTAGGTGCTCACTAAGTGTTGTTGAGTGAATCACAAATAATGAGGACCAAAGCAATAGTACAGCAGATAGGGCACACAAGCCGACCGGGGAAACCAATTAGGGTTTGATCCCCAGCACCCCATATGGTCCTCCGAGCAACTCCAGGAGTAATTCCTGACTGCAAAGTTAGCAGTAACACCTGCTCATTGCTGAATGTGTCTCCAAAACAACAAACAAACAAACAAACAAAACAAATAAATAGAACTGAAATCTGGATCACAAATAATGAACGTAGGCTGAACCCAGAAAGGCTGAGCACAGACCCAGACTCGGCAGGATTTTTAAGCAAAAGAAAGCCAGGGGTGGGAAGCGGGTGAGTTCAATCAGCGCAACAGGAAGGAAAGAAGTTTCCCAAAGTGTCTGGGATAGCAGTGCTCAGGCATTCATTGTACCAGCTGACAGTGACTCAAGGTCCTCAGGGCTCAAACACTGCTGTCCCCATGTGCTACCTTCGGCTCCAGGGCTAACCTCTGCTCTAGACTAGATCAGTGGTTTTCAACCTTTTTATAAGGCAGACTCATCCTGGTCCAGAATCATGTCCAAACCAGCCAACAACAGCCCTGATCAAACTCTGCCTTGAACTCCTCGTGCACATGAAAAACGACTAGATATCCCTGTACTTCAGCCTCTCTCCCCTCGCAGAAATACGAGCCAGACTATGTTAGCGGTCCATACTGGATGCTGGTACCTCCACCCATGGTCTAGAGTCCTTACCGGGGGTGGCACAGCAAGTGTGGAGGAAGAATAGACTCTGAGGGCCGCCAAGCTGAGTTCAAATCCTAGTTCCACCATTTATGTGTGTGAACCTAGAGGCGCTCCATCAGTAATGAGGGGTGTGAAGTTCCTATGTCCTGTGGGGGTGATGTGACCTGACAGGCAGCAGTTGCTCAATAAAATGGGTTCTTGTTTGTATGAGTCATATCTGTATCCTCAGAACCAGATTCAGGAGCTAATTTGTAAGGGGTGCTCTGGAAAAAGAATGAATAGAATTAATGAGTGACTGGTTTCTGTCTATTCTGCCT